TGTGTGCGTGTGTGTGTGTGTGTGCGTGTGTGTGTGTGTGTGCGTGTGTGTGCGTGTGTGTGCGTGTGTGTGCCTTGCGCAGGCAAGGGGAGCCTCTGTTGCTGCTATGCTGTAACCTTGCATCATCTGTCTTAATGCTTAATGTGTGGAAGGCTGCAGCAGGCTGACTCCTTCCCCAGGCATTTCCTTGCACTGGAACTTGAAAATCCACTTGTTTGGCTTCGAGAGAAAGTCTGTCCATATTTCAGTTAGGATTACACCAAAGGTTTCTTCACTATGGGGAACACCGCTGCCCTGATCATATTTAATACTTTCATGTAGGAAGTACATGTACTTTTAAAGCCTTACTTTTCTTTTCCGTTTTCCTTCCTTGAACAGGGTCTTGCTATGCACTCAGTCTGTCTTGAAACCTTTTTTTCTCCTGCTCCTGGCTACTGGAGTTATAGGCGGCACCACCAAGAGGGGAAAGCCTTCGCTGGCGGGAGGTGTGCTGGGGATGCATGGAGAACTTCCTGCGTCAGCCATCAGTCTTCCTTCCTGAAACTCTCTCTACCCTCCTGCCCTGCACCAGGCTGCAGCCCCCGCCCCCCCCCCCCCCCCCCCCCCGTCAACTCTTTGTCCTGCATACTGGCTGCTTGATATTAGGAGTCCAGCATCCAGTGCAAAGCCTCAGGTGTCCCCACCCTTGGGGACATTGCTGAAGAGATAGAAGGGACTCAATATAAATATGAGGAAGAGAACAAGGCCTGGGGTGGGGCAGTGCTAGGGTGGGCGTGAGGGACTCCAGCAGTGGGAAAGCCGACTTGTGTCTGCTGTGGGCGCTGGGCTCCTGGGCTAAGCAGTAGCACAGGGAGCAGGAGAACGGGATCCAGTCATTGGGCCAGCACTGCTCAGACAGCCTTGAGGCTTCTGCAAGAGTGAAGGTGAGAGAGGAAACCTGGCTTGCGGGTGGGTAGGTGTGTGTGTGGGGATAGAAGTCAGGGTGTGTGGGGGGATAGAAGTCAGGGTGTATAGGGGGATAGAAGTCAGGGTGTGTGTGGGGGATAGAAGTCAGGGTGTGTGTGGGGGATAGAAGTCAGGGTGTGGGGGGGATAGAAGTCAGGGTGTATGTAGGGGGATAGAAGTCAGGGTGTGTGGGGGGATAGAAGTCAGGGTGTGGGGGGGATAGAAGTCAGGGTGTATGTAGGGGGGATAGGAGTCAGGGTGTGTGTGGGGATAGAAGTCAGGGTGTGGGGGGGGATAGAAGTCAGGGTGTATGTAGGGGGGATAGAAGTCAGGGTGTGTGGGGGGATAGAAGTCAGGGTGTATAGGGGGATAGAAGTCAGGGTGTGTGTGGGGGATAGAAGTCAGGGTGTGGGGGGGATAGAAGTCAGGGTGTATGTAGGGGGATAGAAGTCAGGGTGTGTGTAGGGGGGATAGAAGTCAGGGTGTGTGTAGGGGGGATAGAAGTCAGGGTGTGTGTGGGGGGATAGAAGTCAGGGTGTGTGTGGGGGGATAGAAGTCAGGGTGTGTGTAGGGGAGGATAGACGTCAGGGTGTGTGTGGGGGGATAGAAGTCAGGGTGTGTGTGGGGGGATAGAAGTCAGGGTGTGTGTAGGGGGGATAGAAGTCAGGGTGTGTGTAGGGGGGATAGAAGTCAGGGTGTGTGTAGGGGGGATAGAAGTCAGGGTGTGTGTTGGGGGGATAGAAGTCAGGGTGTGTGTAGGGGAATAGAAGTCAGGGTGTGTGTAGGGGGATAGAAGTCAGGGTGTGTGTAGGGGGGGATAGAAGTCAGGGTATGTGGGGGGGATAGAAGTCAGGGTGTGTGTAGGGGGGATAGAAGTCAGGGTGTGTGTAGGGGGGATAGAAGTCAGGGTGTGTGTTGGGGGGATAGAAGTCAGGGTGTGTGTTGGGGGGATAGAAGTCAGGGTGTGTGTAGGGGGATAGAAGTCAGGGTGTGTGTAGGGGGGGATAGAAGTCAGGGTGTGTTGGGGGGAGATAGAAGTCAGGGTGTGTGTAGGGGAGGATAGACGTCAGGGTGTGCGGGGGGATAGAAGTCAGGGTATGTGGGGGGGATAGAAGCCTGCACAGGCTTCTGCTTCACCCCTCCCTGAGCTGCGGCCTCCTGACTGCTGCTTCCGAGTTGTCCATACCACTCTCTGCTGAAGCCACTCAGCCAAGAAGACTAAAGTGATGACCTCATCCCACTGAGACCCCTCTTCAAGCCAGCAGTGATGTACACCAGGCAAAACTCAGGGGTTGTGGGCATAATGGCTTGTGTTTATAATCCTAGCACCGAGGGGCGGAGGCAGGAAGACTGGGGCAAGTTTCAGGCTAACCAGGGCTACAGAGTAAGACCATGGCTCAAGGGTCACTTCTCACTTCTCTATGTGATCCTTGATGCACCTGTGGGGCTGACCACTTCCTCACTCTTTACAGCAACCAGGGTGTGGTTCCTGTAATTCTTGTAATCCTAGCACCTGGGATATCACTGGAAATTCAGGGCCAGACAGAAACACCAGTGAGACACAGTCTCAAAAACACAAAACAAAATAAAACAAACAACAAAAACATTAAGCGCACGTAATATACATAGTTGAAAGGACAATAAAAATAAGATAATTTAAGTAATCTAGTTTAAGGAACAGGGTTACTGCCACTTGCTTCTGTAAGTTTTGCACACACCAGCCGTGTCTGCTGCCTCTCAGGACTCTGCGTGGCTCTTCTGCTTTTGTGCTGAGATGCACAGATGAGGAGGGACAGATGTGTGGTTGCCAAACCGCACACATTTGTATTTGGGTAACTATGAGCTTATTTCAGGTGAGAGGCAGCTGGTAGTGACGTTGCTCAGGCTTTGTCATTTTGTCACTGAGTGCACTCCCACCCTTCCCCAGTGCAGCAGGCCTGTCTGTGCTGCCTCTCAGCTCCCCGTGGTGAGAAGTCAGGTTACTCTGTCCACTGCTACCTCATTCAAAAGAACGCCCTGGTGCTGGAGAGATGGCTCAGCAGGTAAGTGCTTTTCAAGAGGACCTGGGTTCAGTTCCCAGCACCCACTTTGGGCATCTTTTAACTTCCTTGTAGCTCCAGTTCCAAGGGGACCCAATGCCTCTGGCCTCCTGGGTACCTGCACTCACCCAGACCCATACCCCCCTCCTTTGGTGCTGGTAGCATTATAACTTTCTGGGTGTGGGTTTCAATATTCTGTGTGTGATTTGCTAGGCTTCCTGAGAGCCCTTTCTTCCTTGGTCCTTCTTTCTTGGATCTATTTTCTTGTTTTGTTTCTTGAATGGAGTCTCACTGTGTAGCCTTGGCTGTTCTGGAACTTCCTTTGTAGGCTAGGCTGACCTTGAGTTCTCAGAGATCTTTCTGTTTCTGCCTCCTAAGTCTGAGTGATGGGACATTTATTTACATCATCTTATTTGTACTGGCAAAGGACTAGAAATGACCGAAAAACAATTGTGAGAACACACCAGGACATAGATAGTTATCCAGTGGAGCAGACTGTGACCAGGGCTCACACCAGATGGACACCAGACTCATTCTCTGTCACTGCTGTGGGACCCTCAGCCAACAGCCTTTAAGATACTGATCCACTTCAAGGATGACCCCTGAGAAATCTCCAGTAGGAACAGATGGCCCAGATGTCAGAGCTCTATATCCAGAACAGATTCAAGACTGCTGCCTGAGATGATCAAGACTCACAGGATACTACAGTCAGGACTTGATGATAATTATAAATTTTCTTTAAGTCCCCATAAGATTATCATCACCCCCAATCAGCAGGAAGTAGCTTGGAATACTACGTCCACATTCCCCCAAAATGGACGATGGATATTTTCCTTTGTTTAGAATGTTGGTTACAAGTTTTTATGGATAATGGTCAGGAGAAAAGCTAAACAAAGAATATTAGATTCAGAGTTCCTGTTCCTTAAAAAAAGGAGGGGAGGGAGTGCTGTGGAACAATGGTTTGTAGCCTGTCAATTGTATTTTAATAAAACACTGATTGGCCAGCAGCCAGGCAGGAAATATAGGTGGGACAACCAGACAGGAAGTAGAGGCGGGTTAATGAGAACAGGAGAATTCTGGGAAGAGGAAATCTTGGTGTACCACAGAACAAGCAAGATGTAACTGCCTCTTTGAAAAAGGTACCAAGCCACGTGGCAAACATAAACAAGAATAATGGACTAATATAAGTTTTAAGAGTTAATAAGAAGCCTGAACTAATGGGCCAATCAGTTTATAGTTAAAAAAAAGATACTGATCCACTCTGGACGTAGTCTCATGTATTATCAATGCAGATGAAAATCACGCATGGGCCTCTTGGAAGCTGGATTCAGTTCCAGTTCCCAGGGCATGCAGAGAACTGCTATTGCCCCCTTTCTGTGAGTTTATCCCCAGATAAATAAACCTTTGTTATACTCCCTTTTGGGCGATTGTGGAACTCTTATACCCCAACATGATGTCACTTACTATGACTTTTTTTTTCCTTTTTGAGTCAGGGTCTCTCTATGTAGCCCTGGCTGTCCTGGAACTCACTCTGTAGAGCAGACTGGCCTCAAACTCACTGAGCTCTGTCTGCTTCTGCTTCCTGAGTACTGGGAATGAAGGTGTGCACAACCATGTCAGGCTTTTTGTTCATTTTGTCTGGCTTAAATTTTGAAATCACTTTTCCTCCCTCCACCCTTTTTGCTTGGTGTCATCTCAAATAGTCCCCCCAAAAAGAGCCTTTAGAGAAGTTTTCCTAATAATTTCACTGCGACCATTGCTGGCTCTTCTAGAGAAGCAGAGCACTCTCTCCTAAGGAGCCCTGGGGACACGGCGTGCGACATGATTCCTGACCATCAGGGCTCTATGATCATGGCGTGGGACACTCTGGCTCCCCACAAGAACTAAGGTATGCGGGCCTAGGAGATCGAAAGGGCGGAGAGAAGTCACTTGAGAACATGGCGGCCTGCTGTTCCCGCTCCCTTTGGCACCCCACTCTGTTAGTCAGCTTCCTTAGTCAGGAAGCAGCTCTCCTACCTGCTGCAGCTGAATCGTCCTGAGAGGGGACTCCCGAAAGGCTGGATCCCAGGTCCAACAGCTTCCAGGTGTCCTGCAGGGAACTGCTGGCCAGCGAAGATGACCTGTGGTGGTCACTTTCCTCGGGGACTTCGTGAGCCTGTGCTGGCAGCTTTGGGGACCTGTTTTCTTTCTGATGCGCTGACTTCCAGGTCTCTGTGGGGACTCTGTGCTGTCTCTGTGAAAGTTAGGAGGACAGTTGTCTTTGATAGCTACCCTCTCTTCAGCCCTGGGAAGTTCATAAAGGAGACCAGGACCCTCCTCAAGATGGGGATGGGTCCCTGGAAGGCAGCTGAGTGTCTGAAGCCCAAGTGAGTCCAGGATAGAGGTGTTGGGACAGAACCTTGAAGGCGGTAGTTCCTACCAGAATGTGAAGGGCGGGGTAAATGTACAAGGGCTGTCTTGGTGTCTGTCCCTCCCTTGCCCTGCCACTCTGCAATGAAGCACCCAGTGGGAAATCCATGGCAGACACACAGGGGTGAGACCTTTCCTAAGGTGCACAGAATGTTCAAGTTCCCACAATTTCCACACTCGAGTGTGTGGGGACACCAATCTCGGTCATATCCCAGTACCCACAGAAACCTATGATTACACTCCAGCTCCCATAAACACCCCCAGAAACCACCGCACCCCAGAATGTGGCTGTACCTGAGCAGGCCTTGGTGCCATGCCCGCCTGGGAGCCTCGTGTGGTGCTGCTTTTGCTGACCGCGTGGGCGGAGTGTGGTTGATCTTTCCCTGAGTATCCAGAAACACATTTTCTCTTGGTGTGCCTGGGGTCCTGCCATGAAAAGTCAAGAGAAATTCAGGAACTGATATCTTTGCATAGGAGCTTCCCCACAAGATTAGGAAGAAACATTCCCCAAACCCTGGGACTAGGGACTCTTCATTTGGTGACGGCCCTGCTTGTTTTACTACGTAGAATAAATTCAGTCTTCCTCCAGTTGACCTAAGTGCTTCTCACACCTTCTAGGGAAGGAAGCTGTGAATTCCAAGCAGAAGTCTCTTCCCCAAGATCAGGGCAGTAAAGCCCAGCCCAAGTCAGCACCTGGTGGACTGGTCCCTAACTGGATAATTCTGCCCATCACACAGTCTGAGTGCTTGCTTCCATCCATGCTCTGCAGACAAGTCAACGGGGAAAGAGGGGGGCATCAAGGAGAACCACATACATGGTGTGAAAGGAATTGTGGAAGAAAACAGGAAGGAAAAAGCGGCTGGGCCTTTGCAGAGCTCAGAGCAGTGGGCACCGGCTGTCTCCAGTGGACACAGTAGTGAGCAAACCCAGCACACACACTCTTGGGCTTAACTTAGAGCTCTGGCTGGCAGTGGTTCTGAGCTCCATCACTGACCTCTGCTTTCCTATAATGAGCATAGGTGTTTTGTCTGCGTGTGTGCTCATGCCTAGTGTGCACAGAGGCCAGAAGAGGGCATGGGATTCCCTGTGACTGGAGTTACAGATGGCTGTGAGCTGCCATGTGGGTGCTGGGAATCAAACCTAAGAGACTGGGAAGAGGGGTCAGAGCTCCTAACACTGAGTCATCTCTCCAGCTGTCTTTCGCTTGTTTCTTTCTTTCTTGTTTTCTTCTTCATTTTAAGGCAGGGCTTCAGTATATGGCCCAAGCTGGCTTTAAATCTCCACTCTCTTGCCGCAGCCTCCAGTGTTGGTAAGAACCACTGTGCCCGGCTTCTTGTCTAGAGTTTTAAATTATTTCAGTATGTGTAATAAGCAAATGTAGTTTTACATGAGAAGTCATCAGATAACAGGTGTGTCTTATTGCCATGGACGGCAGCCTTGTTTACTGGGTCTGACAATACCTGTTTGCAGTTTGAGCACTGACTGACTAGTGCAAGTGATTGAGAATTCCCACCCGGTTAGGGTGAAAACTCCTGGCGATTGCAGATGGCCTTTCGTAGGTCAGGAGCAGGAGTGCACTTGGGAGCGTGTGCATGCCTGTGTGGTCATGGAAGGTCTGGAGGAGGTGGTGGGACAGGTACCCCAGGACGCCCCAGTTTCCAGCAGCCTGTGTGGTCATGGAAGGTCTGGAGGAGGTGGTGGGACAGGTACCCCAGGACGCCCCAGTTTCCAGCAGTCTGTGTGGTCATGGAAGGTCTGGAGGAGGTGGACAGGTACCCCAGGACGCCCCAGTTTCCAGCAGCCGGGGAGCAGTGCCCTTCTGCTCTGAGCTAGGCCTCCTTTCTGGGCTCAGCCACCCTTCTCAATGCTTCCTTTATAGTTTCCTCCACGGGGAGCGTGGTCTACTGGGGAAACACCTGGGCCTGCCCTACTTTCTTCGGCCAGTCCAGCTCAGTTTCTTCTCTGACCAAACAGCTGACCTCCGCTGCTCGGCTCTTCTCTCCCCAGGCCTCTTTCCTGGGTGGCCTTGCTCTGTCCTTGCTCTGTGCTCTGTGTGTGTGGCCTCGGGCTGGCCGCAGGTGTGAACGAGAAGGACCACCTCCAGCTTGTTCCCCGGCCCTGCTTCCCCACCCAGCTGCTCAGGCCTAAGCCTTGATGATTTTTTTTTTTTTTTGATGTCCCGATATTCTTTTTTACCTTTTAGCTATGCCCTTGCCCCTACCATGCCGCACAGCCTCAGCAGCCTCCCCAGTGGTGGTCAGCATGTCACTCCCTGACCCAGAGCTGGTCTTCCCACCTGGCTGGGAATAAACTTAGAATCCACATCACCCCAGGGCAAAACCATCACTATTCTTTTAATTTATTTTAAGTGAACTGAAAAGACAAATTGCAGATTCCTTCTGGGAGGACACATTTGCAGTCATTCAACAAATATGAATCAGTACTGAGATTGCAAAAAAAAAAAAAAAAAAACCCAGCTGGTCCTGACTGGTGGCCTGTAATCCTAGCACTTTAGGAGCCCAGGCAGGAGGACTGCAAGACTCTGTCTCCACTATGCACACACAGCTCCAAGGTATAGGTTTGCTGGAACTGGATTAGCTTGTGGGAAGGACGAGGTGGAATGAACATTCCTGGGGCAGAGACACAAGACCTCAGCTCTTAGAAGACCTCCTACCCCCAACCTCAGCTAAAGGTGGGAGTGAACGGTGCTGGACACTGGAAGGCCCAAGGATGGATAGCTTGCAGGTCATGATGCTGTTCTGGGTAAAAGCTGCAGACAGAACTTCTTGTTTGTTTGAGACAGGGTCTTACTATGCAGCCTTGAATGGCCTGAAACGCACAGGCTGGCCTCCAACTCACAGCAATCTGACAGTTTCTGCCTCCTAAATGCTGGGAGTAAAGGTGCGCGCCACCACACCAGAAGAAGGTACTTCTTTGAGTGATGGAAAAATCTCCATCAGGGCAAAGGATTAAAATGGCTGGAGTTGACCTTTTAATGTTAGGGAAGGAACCCAGGGCCTCAGGCATACACTACACGAGTGCTCTACAGCTGAGCTACACCCCAGTCCTTGACCATAACCACTACGTCTGGCTGTAAGAAAATTTAAAAGTTGGGTGTGGTAGAGCAGGCCTTTAATCCCAGCACTTGGGAGGGAAAGGCAGACAGAGCTTTGTGAGGCCAGCCCGGTCTAAATTGTTCCAGGCCCTTCTCAGCTTCAGAGAAACTTTGTCTCAAAAAAAATTATAAGAAGGTTTTTAAAGATTTATTTTTATTTGTGTGTCTGTACTTATGAGTGCATATGCCCTGTGTGCATGGGCACTGGACCCTGTGCTGCGCAGTTTTCTGCCACCGTTACACAAACTACAGCCATCTGGGAAGAGGGAGTGCGGCTGAGAAAATGCCTCTATTAGACTGGCCTATAGAAAACGCCTCCATTAGACCGGCCTGTAGGAAACGCCTCCATTAGACCGGCCTGTAGGAAATGCCTCCATTAGACTGGCCTGTAGAAACGGTTGAGGGTTTCTTTTCTTTAATTAATGGTTGATACGGGGGGGGGGGAGGGCAGCCCACTGTGGAGAGCGCCACCTCTGACAGAAGAACGTGAAAGAACACTGAGTAAGGTCTGGGAACAAACTAAACAATCAGCGTTTCTCCACAGCCTCTGCTTTAGTTTCTTTTTTCTTTCTTTCTTTCTTTCTTTCTTTCCTTTCTTTCTTTCTTTTTTTTATTTTTTACCTTTTGTTTTCGGAGACAGGGTTTCTGTGTGTAGATAGGCAGTCCTGGAACTTGCTCTGCAGACCAACCTGGCCTCAGACTCACTGAGATCCACCTGCCTCTGCCTCCCGAGTGCTGGGTTTAAAGGTGTGCGCCACCACTGCCCTACTCCCTTCTGCAGTTTCTAGCTCCAGGTTACTGCTCCAATTTCCTTCTTTCGTGAAAGACTGTGATTGAGACATGAAAGTCAAATAAACCTTTTCCTCTCCAACTTACTTTCTGTCATGGTTTATCACAGCAATAGAAAGCAAACTGGCAGAACTTAGTGCCAGGACAGTGCTATTACTGTAACAGACCTCGCCATGTTGCTTTGAGATAACTGTGGAAGGGGTTTGGAACTTTGGGCTGGAAAAGCCTTTGAGTTCTCAGAGCTTAAGGAGCTGCTGTGGGAACTTGGGAGGTAGGCATGCTCAGAGCAATGACAGAGGTTTGGAAATCTGAGAGTCCTTCAAAGACTACCAGGGACATTCATGCGATTCTTTGAATTAAGAATCTCTGTTTTTTCTTTTGTTGGGGCTTAGGATCAGCTGTGACTAAGAAGAGATCAGTGCCTCTGAGGTCAAACCTTTGCTTTATTTATTTTATTTATTCTGGCTCAGCTGTGAAGAAGAGACCAGGACCAGGCAGTGGTCCCGTCCCTGCACTCAGGTGGCAGAGGCAGGCAGATCTCTGAGTTCAAGGCCAGCCTGGTCTACAGGGCTACGCGGAGAAACCTGATCTTTTGGGAAGTTGTTTCCTAAGGGTTAGCACACAGATGCGATGGCTCAGGCTCAGTGGCTGGCAGCAAACTTGGTAATGTGTAAAAATCTCCCACATAGGACTGGTTTGGGCAGCACGAAGCTGCAGGATTAAAGGGGTCATAGAGTGTTGACGAGGCTTGACCCTGTGAGAGGGCGGGGAAGCCATTGGTGAATTGCTGCCTCAATCGCAATGAAAGCTTTAGGGCTGGAGCTGTCAGAGGAGCCGCTGAGGCCTGATGACCTGAACAGGCTCAGAGTTCGTAAAGAGAGGCCAGAAAAAAGTCACTATCAGAGATGCAGCTGTGGGATGGCCGCAGGGAGCAGGCAGCTAAGCGCAGCCATTCCGACTTCAGACTCCAATTTACATGTAGGGCGAAATAAAGTTCAGGATCCGAAGCCCTAGGAGAGCTGAGAACTCTCCGGTGGCCCACCGCCTCCTCCTTAAACCACAGAAATAGCTGTTATGCACCTTTAGTTCTCTAGAAACATCATGGCTGTTCCTAACAACAGAAGGAACAAATCAGTCTGGTTGGCTGGACTGAAAGGCTTGCATTGTGTGGCTGTTGACAATAGTGGAAGGCATAGAGAAAGCCCCTAATCTTTGACTCCCGATTGGTGAAAAATGTAACTGTAACTTGGCAACAAGTATCTGTGATTTTTGTGCTTATGAACCCCTCTTCTGCCTCTGCTTGGGGCTCAGGAAAAACAAGGCTTCCCCGATTGATCAGTGACCCCACTACGTGGTGATTTATTATTATCTTTGGAACCCCTCTCGTGGCTCACAATGGAGTGGGTGTAACCTGAGCACCAAGAGCAGCAGTGGGCGTGGACTGGAGCCGGCCTGAGCCTGTGGGACCAGCTAGTGTGACAGAGAGGGCAGAGTCGGGGAACTGGGACTTCCCAAGCCTTCTGAAGCCCGTCAGGTTGTGAGTGGACCCCAGACATTGGCCGCAATCACTGGCACTGCTGAAATTCAGTTTTTGCTTTGCTCTGACTGTGAACCAGGTTCTTCGCTCTTGGAGTAAGAGTATTTTCTTTTTAATTGTTTTTATTGAGCTATATATTTTTCTCTGCTCCCCTCCCTTTCTCCACCCTCCCCACCTCCCCTCTCCCATGGTCCCCATGCTCCCAATTTACTCAGGAGATCTTGTCTTTTTCTACTTGCCATGTAAATTAAATCCATGTATGTCTCTCTTAGGGTGCTCGTTGCTCATTGTTGTCTAGGTTTTCTGGGATTGTGAATTGTAGACTTTTTTTTTTTTTGCTTTATATCTAAAAGCCACTTATAAATGAGTACATATGATATTTGTTTTTCTAGATCAAAAAAAAGTATTTAACTTGTTTTTTTATTTTACAGGATCCTATAGTTGATAGACTTTGAATTTTTAAAAGAAAAATTTGAACTTTTAGTGTTTAAAATTTTGTTTTTCAAGATAGGGTTTCTCTATGTGGTTGTCCTGGAGCTCACTGTGTAGATCAGCAAGCCTTCAATTCAGAAAGCTGACACGGGATTCTCCTCTGTATGCCATGAATACCATTGGTAAATAAAGAAGCTGATCTGGGCCTGTGATAGGGTAGAGCAGAGCTAGGTGGGGAAAACTAAACTGAATGCTGGGAGAAAGAAGGCGGAGTTAAGCTATGGAGCTGCTGCCACAGACAGACATGTTGGAACCTTGCCGCCCTCATGGTAAAATATAAAATAATGGAAATTGGTTAAATTAAGATGTAGGAGTTAGCCAATAAGAAGTTAGAGCTAATGGTACAAGCATTCTGTGTGTTTATTTCGGGGCTGGGCAGCTGGGAAACAAACAAGTGGTCTCCTACTACAGAGAGCCACCTGCCTCTGCCTCTGCCTCCTGAGTGATGGGATTAAAGACTTAAAGACGTTCTCTACAAGCCTAGCTGAAGCATTTACATTTTAAACACTGAGACTTGGTTTTTTTGTTTTTTTGTTTGTTTGTTTGTTTTTTGAGACAGGGTTTCTCTGTAGCTTTTTTTGGTTCCTGTCCTGGAACTAGCTCTTGTAGACCAGGGTGGCCTCAAACTCACAGAGATCTGCCTGCCTCTGCCTCCGTAGTGCTGGCATTAAAGGCATTCATCACTACCATGTCTGGTATCAGTTTCTGCCTCTGGGTTTCTGCCTTGACGTCCCTTCATGATGGATATGATTGGGTAAACCAACTAAACGCTTTTCTCCCCAAGTTGCTTCGGTTTCAATAGAAAGCAAGCTAAGATAGATTCCCTGGAGCTGTGGTTACTGAGGCTATAAGCTGCCTGACACAGGCACAGGGAGACAAACTGAGATTGTCTGGAAGGCAACATAACTCCCAAGTAATCTCTCCAGTCCCAAGACATTTTTATTAAAAATTAAATTAAAAAATTTATATTGAGCCAGGCAGTGGTGCAGTTTGAGGCCAGCCTGGTCTACAAGAGCTAGTTCCAGGACAGTCAGAACTATTACACAGAGAAACCACGTCTCGAAATAAACTAAATAAAATTATATTGGTAAAGATGAAAAATATAGTAACAGCCAGGCAGTGTGGGTGGTGCACACCTTTAATCCCAGCACTCAGGAGGCAATGGCCATCCTGGTCTAGAGAACAAATCCAAGGCTGCTACAAAGAGAAACCCTGTCTTGAAAAACAAAGAAACAAACCAACAAAACAAAGTAAAAATATGATAGCCATATGGGTAAAGCTATAGTACATCATATGTATGATTAATTGTTTAAAGCCATAAACAAATCCAGGAGCCAGGGACGGTCGGGCACTTCTGTAATTCCTGTTCTTAGGAGGCTGAGCAGGAGACCCGGGGTTCAAGATAGCCTGGGCTACACAATGAGACTCTGTCTCCAAAAAGCAAAACAAATAAAAAGCAAAGGAGCTGGAAGAGTGTGAGCGTGATGCTACCAGCACCACGGGGGGCGCTGGAGACAAGGCTCTCCCTGTGTCTTCTGCAGTTTGTCTAACGAGAACCTATACCCACCACGGTGGGCACTGGAGACGAGGCTCTCCCTGTGTCTTCTGCAGTTTGTCTAACGAGAACCTATACCCACCACGGTGGGCACTGGAGACGAGGCTCTCCCTGTGTCTTCTGCAGTTTGTCTAACGAGAACCTATACCCACCACGGTGGGCGCTGGAGACAAGGCTCTCCCTGTGTCTTCTGCAGTTTGTCTAACGAGAACCTATACCCACCATGGTGGGCACTGGAGACGAGGCTCTCCCTGTGTCTTCTGCAGTTTGTCTAACGAGAACCTATACCCACCATGGTGGGCACTGGAGACGAGGCTCTCCCTGTGTCTTCTGCAGTTTGTCTAACGGGAACCTATATTTCGCACTTAGGAAAATGTTAACGCAGATTTCTGAGGTGAAGAAGTTACCTGAGCTGTTGAGTGGGGCTGCAGCTGTCCCAAAGGTAGGCCACGGTCCAAAGGCACCTCACGGGGGTCCCGGGACTCAGAGGTGGGAAGAAGTGGGCAAGGAGTCAGTTTCCCTGGAAACAGGATCAGGAAAGGGTTGTTCCCCATGCACATCATACAGGATTTCTTGAACACAAGAACAGCAAACGACTTTTCAAAACCAAAGCAATTTCTACTCTCGAGAACTGGGGAGTACAGGTGAAGTGTGAGAGGTGCCACACCACCCCAGCAGAGCCCAGCAACACATGCGGTTTCCCAGCCTAATCCTAACCTGCAACACCAACCTGCAGACAGCTGCACAGATAGCAGGAGGGATTCATTTTTACCAACAGTCACTAAAACTGGCCTCGGGGCAGTGCATCAAAGTACGTATCTGCCTATACAGGACACACATGCACACACACACATACACACCACACACACACCACACACACACACACCACACATATACACCACACATACACACACCACACCCAACACCACACACATACACACCACACACTCCTCCCCCCACACCACACACTCACACACACATACACACCACACATACACATACACATACACACCACACATACACACACATACACACCACACACTCCTCCCCCCACACCACACACTCACACACACATACACACCACACATACACACACACATACACACCACACACTCACACACACACATACACCACACATACACACACCACACCCCAACACCACACACATACACAGCACACACACACTCCTCCCCCCACACCACACACTCACACATATACACCACACACACACACACACATACACACACCACACACATACACCACACATACACACATATACACCACACATACACACACCACACCCTCAACACCACACACATACACAGCACACACACACTCCTCCCCCCACACCACACACTCACACGCACACCAGACCACACCCCCAGCAGTCCCTGATGCTCTGGATGCTGAGGAGGAGGCCAGCCTGGACAACACAGCAAATCCCCTTTTTTAAAAAAATGGGGGTGGATGGGGCTAGAGAGAGAGCTCAGCTGTTTGGAGCACTTGTTGCTCTTAAGGAGGCCCTGTGTTCGGGTCCCAGCACCCACACAGTGGCTCACAACCATGTATAACTCTAATTCTGGTGAATCCAACACCCTCTTTTGACCTCCTCTGGCACCAAGAACATATATGGTACAGAGACATAAATGCAGCCTCAACACTCATACATATAAAATAAAATTAGAACCTAAAAGAGAGGGAAAAAATTAATGTGCATTAACTTAAAGCTAGGGCTGTAACAGACGGTTCTGTGCTCTTTCACGGAGGAATGATCTTAAAAGAAAAAGAACAATTTGATTTATTCATTTAACTTGATTTGTTTTAGGTTAACCTAAACAACTTGGAGGTCTTTTTGTTTTTTTTAAGCAGGTCTTGCTCTGTTGGCCAGGGTGACCCAGAGTTATCCATCTCCTGTGGCCTCCCATGTGCCACCTAATCTCACATAAAGACGATGGTTATCAGAGACACCTGGAACTTCCTCTATGTAGACCAGGCTGGCCTTGAACTCACAGAAGAAGAAGTAAAGCAAAGGAATGAAGATGAGGTGGCAGCTGATGGCCCCCCAGGAACTCAATAGCCACTTTAGAAGGCCCTGGAAAGTGACAGAAACACACACCCTACCACGGCGAGGTACACAGGGACAAGAGAGAAAGAGGAACAGCATTTAAAGGAACAAAGGCTGGAGTTTGTGTTTTTTCATCTTTCATGTGTGTACACATGGTTTTATTTTATGTGTGTAAAGATTATCTATGTGTGTGTGGAAATGCACGCATCTGTGTGCATGTGGACTCTGAGGTCCAAGGATGACCTCAGAAATTATTCTTTTTATTTTATTTTTTTAAATTAATTAATTTATTTATCTATTTATTTATTTATTATGTATCCAATATTCTGTCTGTGTGTATGTCTGCAGGCCAGAAGAGGGCACCAGACCTCATTACAGATGGTTGTGAGCCACCATGTGGTTGCTGGGAATTGAACTCAGGACCTTTGGAAGAGCAGGCAATGCTCTTAACCACTGAGCCATCTCTCCAGCCCCTCAGAAATTATTCTTGATGGCCCATTGACCTTATTCCTTGAGGCAGAGTCTCTCAACCAAACCCAGAGTTCACTGACACAGCCAAGCTCCATAGCTAGCTTGTTCTGGGGATCCCCTGTCTCTGGCTACCACATCAACTGGAACTGGGGATTCAAGTTCCAGTCCTCGTGCTTACTCACCAAGTACATAACCACTGAGCCGTTCCTAGTTGCTGTGGCTAGGTTTCCAAGAGGATGGAAAACAAACAAATCAATGTATCCCAAGATCAAAAACACATGGACTTTTATCAAGACAAACCAAACTGAGCCCCAGCTGCACGGAGCAACATAGAAGGGGAAGACAACAGACAGCAGTGGCCAGTGGTGTGCGGCAGACCCTTCTCCAAGGAGGACCAGACTGTGGCTGTTTAGGAGATGTGAGAAACTTCTCTAAAAAAGGTTGCAGGAACCAGGTTTGGCTTATTTATCTGTGATTCCAGCACGAGAGAGGCTGAGGCAGAAGGATTTTGGCCTGGGCTACACAGTGAGACCCTGCCTCAAAAGCAAAACCAAACACTGAAAGTTCTAGGTCCAGCTCAGCCGTGGTTCTGGACAGCAGCTGAGCCAGGATCCCTTTCAGACATGGAGACTGAGGAAGGCTCTGCCCACAAGGTTTTGCTAAAGCAAGAGCTAAAAGAAGAGCCTCAGAGGCTGAAATGCAAGTCTGGTTTCCTCCAAAGGAGGCAGCTGCTTTAGTGGAGTCTGCAGAGGCCAAGTGAAGAAGGCTGCCCCAGGGCCCAGAAGATACACAGCAGCAGGACACAGGGTTTATAACAGTTCATTCAAGTGGTCCATGTGGTGAGATTCTGTGCTAAGGCTATTTCTTCATAATTAGTGTATTTTTGCAGTAGGCTTCCGAATGCCATTGTAATCAAGTAACCACGTAGATCTGACAGCGTGTGCAGGCGTGTGTTAGGGAGCAGAACCACACCGATTTAACCACAGGGAAAAGCTATCTGAGGCCCCGTTACCATCACTAAACTTTTTGACTATGGCTGGTCTTGAACTCCTGACCTTCCTGCCTGGGCCTTCTGAGTGCTGGGATCATAGGCATAACTGCCGCCAACATGGAAGACTTTCCCCAGATCATTCATGATGAATCACATTTTCATCAGCAGGGCTAGGGATGTAGCTCAGAGGCAGATTGCTTGACTGGCATGCACAAGGCCTGGGCTTGATACCTAGTAGATAAATCAGAAGTATAATAAAAATATAACAAAATAGAATGGGGAAAACCCCACAAAAATTGAAGATACACACGTAAAACAATGAGATGCTTTACTTATCCTGATTTCCTACTTTTTATGGGGCTGTGGTCAAAGGGGGATTCTAATTCTCTCCAGAGGAGTGGAGAGAGCAGGCTGTGGCAGACAGACACTAAGCTGCTGCCAGACAAGGAGAAACCCAGACGCCACCAACAGGCCACCGGAAGAAGGAAGAAATAAATGATACCATTGTTCCATCTCTTCTAGGAATTGGCTTGCTAAGGACTCCACGGGCACAGCATGCCCTGCTGGGAGGAAAAGCAGGCTGTGTACATCGTGTGCCTGTTAAGTCTTGGGATGAGGATGTGAGCTGAGCGTAAACAGACGTGGTGTGCACATGGACTGGAAGGGCAAACATATAGCAAACATACAACACATAACAGAGACAAAGAGGGGCTGACATCTTCAACAACATACAACACATACATACAACACATAACAGGAGACATACATACAACACATGACATACATACAACACATAACAGGAGACAAAGAGGGCTGGCATCTTCAACAACATACAACACATAACATACAACACATAACAGGAGACATACACACAACACATGACATACATACAACACATAACAGGAGACAAAGAGGGCTGGCATCTTCAACAACATACAACACATACAACAGATAACAGGAGACATACATACAACACATGACATACATACAACAACACATAACAGAGACAAAGAGGGGCTGGCATCTTTGCCAAGATGTGGACTAGCTCATTTAGGTTTTCTTATAATTTTTGTTTTGTGTTTTTTTAAATTTAGATTTATGTATTTATTTTATTTATGTGTGTGAGTGGTTTACTGCATGTATGCACACACATGCCTGGTGCAAAGGGATCAGAAGAGGGTATTAGACTAAAGTTATAGATGGTTGTGAGCCATCCGGTGGGGGCTAGAAGCAAACCCAGGTTCTCTGCAAGAGCAACAAGTGCTCTAAATGCTGAGTCATCGCTCTAATCCCTTGACTCAGTTTTTTATGTAAGGGTCTCACCCTGTAGCACAGTCTGGTTCCTGAATTAGTCCGCTTTGTGCTGGATTAAAACACTAGCTACCAGGTCTAGGAATGTATCTTAGTGCAGTGATTGCCCAGCATGTGTGAAGCCCTGGGTTTGATCCTCAGTTCATAGAAACTTGAGTGTGTTAGTGCAAGCTGGTAACCCAACTCAGTACCTGGGAGGTGGAGGCAGGAGGCTGAGAAGTTCAAGTCATTCTTGACTACATAGAGAGTTCTTTTGAAGCCAACCTGAGCTATATGAGACCTTGTCTCAAAAACAAAACAAAACAAACAAACAAAAACCCAAGGGATTTTAGAGATGGCTCAGCAGTTAAGAGCACTGGCTGTTCTTCCAGAGGACCCAACTTCAACTCCAAGTACCCACATGGCAGCTCACAATTGTCTGTAATTCCAGGTCTAGGGGATCTGACATCCTCACACAGACATACATGCAGGCAAAACACCAATGCACATAAAAACTGTATCTTCAAACAAACAAACAAGCGAACAAAGGCAGACGTCACAGACATTTCTAGAGGCCGGGAACACTGCTGGGCAGACACAGGGGAGAGAGTAGGAGGGAAAGGAGCCCCGTGTATCTGCTTTGCCTGGCCTGTAGTGACAGGCCTATATTTATAAACATTTATATATCTGTATTCCCAGGGCTGTGCTCCTTGGCTGATCTTGGCCTGGACCCTGCAGCAGGTACTGGGATCTGCACTTCAAACTCTGCTAGCTACTGAGTCACCTCTCTAGACCGTGTTTGGTTTTAAAATAGGGTTTCACACCACAGCCCAGGCTGCCTGGAACTTGTGGTCCTTCTGCTTCAGTCTTTGGAGTGCTGGGATCATAGGCTTGAGCCACTCTCCCCGGCTGTTTTACATTTAAAACAAACAAAATGAAAACAAACAAGCGAAAAATCCTGGGACTCAAGTATGGCTTGGTTTTTTGTAGGAAATCAACCGAGTAGACCTGGGGACACCCACAGAGGGCTGGCCTGGGACTGCCTTGGAGTGTCTGTAGATAAGTTGCCCAACCTGGGGACACCCGCAGAGGGCTGGCCTGGGGCCGCTTGGTGCTTGCCTCACAGGACCTCAGCTGTTCCGTGGCTGTTCCTTCCAGATGTGGCCAGAGCAGTGGGTCAAGGGACACCCAGTGCTGAGATGAAGCCCTGCCCTGTGCCTGAGGCGTCTGGTTGGCTCTGGTCCACCACCAGTGGCCACTGTGAAGCCTGCCTGCAACCCTCCCTCTGGCCCCAGGCTTGTGGCAAGCAAGCCAGGAAGCTTTTTCTTTTGGCCTCCCGTGGCAGAACCATGGCTCCAGCTTCCCTTCTCCATTGGCATGACCCCAGTGTGGCCTGGCCCACCAGCCTTGCCCAGGTACCTTTAGGGAGGCCCTGCTCTGCTCGGAGTCTGTTCCCCATTTCCAGGAGCTGCTCCTTTTCGAGGCTGAGGCTGAGTATCTTCTTAGCCGCGACCTTCAGCTTCCTTTGCAGATGTCGCACGGATACGGACTGTGGAGGCTGAGCCCCTTCCTGGGGGAGACTAGGGAACTCCGTCTGGTCCTTTGTGACCATGGGTCTCCAGTTACTCAGGCCCTGTACACAAAACCCAACCAAGAGACAGCCCTGAGGAGAGCCTGCTGGACATCATACAGGCTGGGAGATGGTGAAGTAGCCCACTGTATGGCCCACCAAGCGGCCCACCTGCCCTCTCGGAATCACCATGGCTGGGGGCTCGCTGGTGACACCTTACAAAGGAAAGTCAGTAGAGTGAGGACTCCCATGCTTTAACTGAGCTGGGAGTTGGGAACAGCACCCAGGTTTCAGTGAGCTATTTCTCTCCTAGGGGGAGGGTTGCATAGTTCTCAGCCTCCCCACCCCCTGCAAGCCCACAGCATTCTTTTTCCCATCAGCTCCTGCTGAGCTTTGTGTCTTTCAAGTGGAGACAATGAGAACTTATACTCAACCAGCACAGGGCCCTGCTCTGGAGGAAAGAAGGCCCAGTCAGCCTCCAGCAACACCCAGACCTGGGAAGCCTGAACCCTGTGTGGACACAGGGACCTGTGGCCAAGCTACTTCTCACTGCTATGGGCCCTATCTGCGTCTGCCCTCTGACCTGTGCTGACTGGACCTTCCCAATGTCCTCCTCCCCTGTTGCCCAAGGGCTGGCATGCCCTTCCCCTTCCTTCTCCTCTGGCTCACCCCTTCTCCACCTGCCTGTTAGAGTCCCCTTACCACCCCGTGGGTCGGCTGTGGTCTCCCTTCCCGGAGAAGGTACAGGAAGAAGCAAAGGCTGCTGGAGAGGAGGTCAAGCAGACACGAGCCCTTTGGAACCATGTGTCCCTCACTCAGCCCAGCCTGGACTTGGGGCCAACCCACACACCACAGAAATACAGTCACAACATTAAGGGGATACAGGCATGGGAGAACCAGGTTCTGACATGGCCACCTAGTCTTGACAGTTATGAGATGTCATGATGGTCAGCTGCTATTCTGAGTGCTAGAGCTCCAAGTCCCGGAACATCCTGCACGCCCTGCTCTGGTTTCCCGGTCCTTGCCAGGGCTGGCATGTGTTTGTGCCCTCTGGGTGCTACTGTTCCTCAGGTAGCCTGGAGTGTGGGGGTGATTGCGCCTGTAGGTGACTGCATTCAGGTGCTTCTGGCAGATGCTGCAGGCCACAGAGGACTGAGGGGCTGGCAGAAAGACCCAGCAGAGGGGTCAGAGAAGGTTCTGTGGACCTTCAGGACCAAGATAGGTAAGCAGTACACGGTGCTCCCAGAGTGTGCTGTTCTAGGCCCAGGCATCCCACACCTCAAGCGGCCTTCAGAATACAGAGGATTTCAGGTCTGGTAAGGGGGAGGCTGGGGCTCTACCTTGCAGGGGCTAGTCTAGTAGGAGGTTCCTGTCACTTTGAAGGTTGGGTGCTCTATAAAATAAAAGCTTGTCAGAAAGTGACAGCCCTGGTAAGGCGCAGCCCCTGATGTTCCCTGGGTCTAGAGCCCTTGTGTGTGACCACACAGGAGGCTCAGTGTGGCCTTGTTCCTGAGAGCACACTTGCCTGGAGGATATGGAATGATTTCCCTGGGCTCAGCTGTTAATAATTTTTATTTGGGCCAGGTATGGTGGCACATGTCTTTAATCCCAGAACTCAGGAGGCAGAGGCAAGTGGATCACTATGAGTTCAAGGCCAGCCTATTCCACATAGAAAATTCCAGGAGAGCCAGGGTTACACAGAGAAACCTTGTCTCGAAAAACCAATCCACAAAATAAGTATTTTACAACATGAGACACATTCAGAGATGTCTTTGACCCACAGCACTCAAGTAAACACTATGGCAACCCACTCCTTGGCACTTGTTCCAGGGCTGCGGACCCCACCCTGCCATCCATGACACTATCTTGGTATGGTGACAATCTGGACAGTACAGAAATCTGCAGAAATGTCTTTATGAGATTTGCCAAGGCCTAGACTGAAGTCCTTCAGGAGGCTGTGGTCAATGCCAGTGGACTCCATGGGTCACAGAGGCTCCTTCCCAGGCCAAGGCCAAAGCTTCCAGCAGCTAACACTCCCTCCAGCACAGGAGAGGAAGACAGGGGAGTAGAAATTAGTTGATGAAGGTGGCAGACGTGGGAGCAGGAGATACCTGGGCCTAAGCCCTGACTAAACAGCGGGCCCGGCCAAGGTCAGGCATGGAGGACCATGGCATTCTTCACAGGTACCCATGTGCACAGTGTTGCAAAGAGTGGACAGCTTCGCAGGCTCTTTGGTTGGGCAAGGGAAAGAAGACTACCCTTCCCCGTTTGTTTTTTGAGATAGGGGTTCACTTTGTAGCCCTGGCTGTCCTGGAACTCTCTCTGTAGACCAGGCTGGCCTTGAACTCACAGAGATCTGCCTGCCTCTGCCTCCCAAGTGCTGGAGTTAAAGATGTGTGCCACCACTGCCAGTTTAAGACTAGCCTTTGATAGAAGCTGAAAGGACAGTTGTCTCAGGCTCCTGCCTTGGGAACTGCCACTGCCCTGCTCACTACCCACCCAGCTCTCTGCACATAAGCTCTTCCTGAAGAATGGAGGGTGGGGGGAGACAGTGTGCCACACACTGCGGTTCTGCACGTCCCAGGAAATATTGGGGTACACTGATGATCCTGGTGACCTCCCCTGGCCTTCTGAGCATGTCCCTCCAAGTGGACTCCTGTCCAGAGCCCGGGACCCCCGGAGTATGAATGTGCAAGGATTTGCCCATAGCTGGAAGGTTCCCTGGTAGTCATTTGTATTCGATGGCATTGACATCTAAGTGTCCAGAGGAGCTAAACCCCAAAAGTGCATCTTGGGTGTTCCACTTAGGCGCAAATGCTAGTGTTCTGGTGCTGATGTTGGTCAAGATGGGTGTCCTTAGGTTTCTCCAGTGAGTTTTTCACCTTGTGATCAAGGTCAGCTGGACATGGAAGAGACACTGTGGCTGGAGACTGGGGCGCCGTGGTTCTCAGCAAGCCGCTGCCTCGAGTTTCACATCCGCACTCCATGGCCTTGTCTGCTGTGTCTACGCACTGACGTTCTGGTAGAGGGCCCACTTCACGTTTTCTTTATAAAGATTGTCTTGTTGTACCTGTCTGTCTGTCTGGGGTGCTGTGCATGTACGGCACGGTGTGCACATTGCAGAGGACAACTGTGGAAGCTGGTTCTCTCCTACCACGTGGTTCCAGACTGAGCTCGGGTCCTCAGGCTTGGCAGCAAGGGCCTCTACTGACGAGATCCTTTCTGGCCTCCATTTCTTCATGTACCTGCCCACTTGGCCAAGACCACTTGAGGATTTCCTATGAACTGGTGGACTGTAGTCTTTCCTGGCTGAGATGGTCAGTCGGAACCCTTCACAGCTAGCATCTGTATTGCCCTAATATATCTATTTGGAACTGGCGTTGTTCCCCTGATCCTGGGACTGGAGCAGGTGATTCTGGGTCAACCTCGGGACACGGGGAACGGGCACGTGCATGTCCTCTCCATTTATCTATACATTGGCAAGGATACCTGAGGACATCGTTTACCAGGTTCCAGCTTCCCTTGGAAGCACTGACTTCCTGGCCTCTCCTGCACACCTAACATCTGGTCCAGGTTGGGGACAGGCTGTGGCAGTGGCTGTCACCTTGGGGTCTTGTCCAGCAGGGGGGCCCAAGCTTCCTTGCTTCCTGAGCTTCACGACCTCACCGTGTGCCAAAACCATAGGTATGAAGACCCAACAGGAACGGGGAAGCCCGGTAACTGCTTTACACGCTGGGCCCTGGGCCTGCTGCCTTAACCCAGTCTGCCACTATTTACATTCAGTGTGTATTATTCAGTGCTGACCGACCTGTTCTCCCTGGACTGATGGATTGTGGAGAAGTCTGGGGGCTTGGGGAGGCCTAGGAGCAGAAGCCCTTAGGGACTAGCACTGCTCAGTACTTCAGTCCTGTGCTGGAGCCTCAGGCTCCCTCAGCTCCCAACCCTGCTCTGTTTCTTTCTCTGTTCCCAGAGGCTATCGACTGTGTTCCTGTTCTTGTAATGTGGTGTCATAAGGGCACACACTGTCTTCAGCTTCTCAGCTGAATGCCTTAAGACCTCTGGTGATTAAAGTCACCACTGACAACCACAGTGGCCATGGGCCACTATAGGTCAGCACAGGTAGTCAAAGGTGACCGTAAGTCATCATTGTCACTGCAGGTCAGTTGGCAGAGAGTCATATCACAGGTCATTCACTGCAGATTACAGCAGGTCAGGGCAGGGGCAGAAGGTCACCATAAGCCAGTACACATCGCCCCAATTACTGCAGGACTGACGGAGTCTCATGGGCACAGCCGGGAAAGTAGGGATGTCACCCTCCTACCCATGGTTCCACTGGGGCCTTCAATGGGAAGGGTGGGCTCTGTCAGAGGATTCCAGGGGGTCTCTGTGCTGGTCACAGTACCGACCAGATGCCGAGTGCCCTGGGGCCCCTCCTTTCACAGGCAGGCAAGGCCAGGTCTGTGCACCGTGCCTTCTTAGCCATCAGCCCAAACCTGTTTATGGAGAGAAATGCATTCTCTGCAGGGAGCCAAAGAGAGCATGGGCTCCAATCCAGCAGTAGTATGTCAAGTCAGAAATGAGCAGAGGTGTGAGTAGGCTCACAGAGGAAAACAGCGGAGGAGAAGAGGAGGCGTCTGCTTAGTCATCTCTCAACACCACCCTCTGGCCTCACAGATCAGGATCCAGCCTGTGCCAGCAAGCATGTGACAGCCAGGATGGAAGGAAATGGGCGCACTCATCCATGTCCAGCACCCACCTCTCTCTGTAGCTGCTCCCTGAGAGAAGGCTCTCCTTGGGGCTGGGGCGTCTTGAGATGCTTCCGTAGCTCAGCCACCTGCTTCTGCAGCTCCAAAACCTCCAGGTGCACCTGGTCCACTTCACTGGGGAGCTCGTGCAGGACAGTGACCGACTCCAGGGGTTTCTGCCACAGCTAGGCAATCAGTTCAGAAGGCAATGTTAGGAAGGGGTGGGGGCCTGTCCTAGGAAGGTGCAGGGGTGGAGCAGGGTCAGTGGCCGGTTTCTGCTCTGGCTGGACGTGATGATCTGCAAACCTGCCCTGTGTGCTGCACTTCTGTGCAGTCGATGCTAGACACCAAGGCTCACTGGCAAGCGTGTGAGAGAAAGCAGGTTACCATCCTTTCCCAAGCCCTAGTTCCCACCACAAGGGCAGATGGCAGCAGGGTGAGGCGGTGCACACCTTTAATCCTAGCACTTGGGAGGCAGAGGCAGGCGGATCCCTGAGAGATCAAGCCCAGCCTGGCCTACATAGTAAGTTTCAGGACAGCCAGGGTTCTGTAGTGAGACCATCTCAAAAGACCAAGAAGGAGATGAGAGGTAAGTGAGCATGATGGGAAGCTACGAAAGGCAGTGCCAGGCTAGGAACGCGGTTTAGCTGATAGAGTGCTAGCCTAGCATGCATGAAGCCCTGGGCTCAATTGCCAACACCGCATAAGCAGGGTGTAGTGGTACATGTCTGTAGTTCTGGTACTTGAGAAGTAGAGGCAGAAAGACCAGAAATTCCAGGTCATTCTCAGTAAGTGTGAGGCCAGTTTGGGTTACAAGAGAACCTATTTATTTATTTATTTATTTATTTTTTATTTTTTTTGGTTTTTCAAGACAGGGTTTCTCTGTGGCTTTGGAGCCTGTCCTGGAACTAGCTCTTGTAGACCAGGCTGGTCTCGAACTCACAGAGATCCGCCTGCCTCTGCCTCCCGAGTGCTGGGATTAAAGGCATGCGCCACCACTGCCCGGCTAAGAAAACCTATTTTTTTTAAAAAAAATAAACAAATAAAAGACAGTGAGAGAGGTGGCTGTGGTGAAAGGGGGGGGTTCAGGAGGAGCAGCTGCTGTCCACGGGTACCACAGAGGTGGACGTGGGTTCAGGAGGAGCGGCTGCCGTCCACGGGTACCACAGAGGTGGACGTGGGTTCAGGAGGAGCAGCTGCTCTCCACGGGTACCACAGAGGTGGACGTGGGTTCAGGAGGAGCAGCTGCTCTCCACGGGTACCACAGAGGTGGACGTGGGTTCAGGAGGAGCAGCTGCCGTCCACGGGTACCACAGAGGTGGACGTGGGTTCAGGAGGAGCAGCTGCCGTCCACGGGTACGTTAGCAGCAGCAGGATGACTGTGAGGACCCATCCTGAACCTTTAGCACCACAACACCAGCACCTGCAAGGCCCTAATGTGGCCGGGGCCAGGTAGGAGGAGATCCAGGCAGATGGGAAAACACACTTCTTTGTATTCTGGCTTCCCAGGCTAGGTGAAGGGAATTAAAATAATGCTTCTGTTCCAGGGATGCCTAAAGTTAACTCTGTGTGACTATCTTGTTTGGACAGTCACATACACACAGAAGAGGCGACCATTAGATAAACACTGTTAAATAAAAATGCAAACACTTGAAGGTAAACTTGTTTTATTTAGACAGTGTCTCACTCTGCAGCCCTGCCTCTCCTGGAACTCACTGTGTAAATCAGGCTGGCCTTAAACTCACAGAGATTCACCTGTCACTGCCTCCTGAGAGCTAGGATTAGAGGCGTGTGCCATCATACTTGACTGGAGGTAAATATTTTACCCAGCTTATTCTGTCTCTAATTATCAAAGTGAAATTAAAATGCTTTAAATTAAATTATTTTTTAGTAGTTTATTTAACTTTATTTTATGTGCTGTTAAGTTGGGAGCAGAGCCCTAGTCCTGGCCTGGGAGTTGCATTGGTTTGGACTCCAAATCCCAGGTCCTGACTCTCCCCCAGGGAGGGGTCAGGACCACTCCCACAAGGTATTTAAGGCGGCTCCCAGAGGAGAAACACATGGTTTTCGGGTCTGCATGGGCTCCCTGCTTTTCTGTCTCCCTGCCATGCACTTGGCCACCCGAGAGCATCTTACTTAATAAAACGATGGGCATTTTGATTTGGTTTGATTTGACCTAATTGGATTTCTTGCGCCGGCAGAGCTGCCCTTTTCTTATTATTTTTACTTAACAGTGCATTGGTGTGAAGGTATCAGATCCTCTGGAACAACAGTTACAGATGGTTGTGCACTGCCATGTGGGTGCTGGAAATTGAACCTGGGTCCTCTAGAAGAGCAGCCAGTGCTCTTAACAGCTGCTCTTTCTCTCCAGACCCTAAATTAAATTCTTTTTTTTTTTTAAAAAGAGCCTTGCCACACTTTCTTTTTTTTTTTTTAATTTATTTATTTATTATGTATACAACATTCTGCCTCTAACCGCATGCCAGAGGAGGGCGCCATATGTCAGTACAGATGGTTGTGAGCCACCATGTGGTTGCTGGAATTGAACTCAGGACCTCTGGAAGAGCAGCCAGTGCTCTTAACCTCTGAGCCATCTCTCCAGCCCCCCTAAATTAAATTCTTATTTCTTGTCTACAGCATTGAAATGTGTGTGTGTGTGTGTGTGTGTGTGTGTAAGTGGGTTTACATGTGTGTGCATTTGTGGTTGTTATTGTTGCTGCTGTTTTGAGATAGGGTCTCATGTATCCCAGGCAGGCCTCTAACTCTCTGTAGCCATGGATGACCTAGAATTTTTGATCCTCCTGCCTCTATGTTATGAGTGTTGGGACTACAGACACTTAGCACCATATCAGGCTTACCTGCGAACAATCCATAGCCACCCATGAGATAAACCAGCGACTGCACAGCACAGTCCTTTGTTCTGAAGGAAAGAGAAGTTGGGAAGACACCCAAAACACCTAAGGTCAATGAGGTCACTCCTGGCACCTCTCAGAAGCTGCACCTGTGTCCAAATCTGGACTGTTCTTCAGTAGGAATGCTTGCACAACCTGAGTGTTAAGAGCTAGTCTCACCTTCTTTTTGAGCTGTGTCACCAGCAGGTTCAAGAGATGCACTCTGTCTCCGAGTTTTCTGAGTGCTAACGCGACAGATGCCTGGCCTGTCAAAGCTGCTCCTGCAGAGAACACTTGCAGTCAGCTCAGATCTCAGAAACAAAAGCAGTCTCCCTGGGGAGCTGAGCCTCCTTTCCCACAGAGGCTTACTGAAGCTTCTAACTGACTTCAAGGTAAATACGCCCATCCCTGAATCAAAGGGCTCGGTCCCCACAAAGACCAGAGATGCAGGGAGTATGTAGTACATCCTAGAACGAGAGGAGGACTAAGGGATGAAATCAGCCTGACCACGTCACAATGACTTTCCCTAAAATCCAGGACGTTTCGAGCAGAACGGTAAAGCGGCTTTAAGGAATTTATGTAAATCTGTCTTTTCAAGGCAGCTCACAGCTCCTAGGCCTGATGACTCAGGAGTCAATCTGCAGAGTGAGTTCAAGGCCAGCCTAAGCTACTTAGTGAGAATGTTTCAAAAATAAAAACCTGGCTGTGGGGGTGGTGGTGGTGGTGCTGGAGAGATGGCTCCGGGATTATGAGCAGTGGCTGCTCTTCCAGAGGACCAAGGTTTGGTTCCCAGCACCCATATGGCAGTTCACAATCATCTGTGACTTCAGTTCCAGAGACTCTGACACCCTTTCCTGGCTCCTGCAGTCACCAGGCACACTGTGGTACAGATACACACATGAAGGCAAAATACCCATACATGTGAAAAAAAAAAGCCCCTCCGAAAATCAAACTGGCTGTGGTTAGGGCTCAGGGGCAGAGAGCTGGCCAGTGTGTGCCAGGCTCTAGGTTCCATTTCTAGCACTGCATAAGAAATGAAAAAGCACATTTATAGCATTAGGTGCATATCTTAGAAATAAAAGATCAACACATGAATCTAGAAGAAAGACAGAATAAAATTAACATTAAATACTGAGGAAATAGAAATAACGTGTCCTCTAATATCAACAAAACCAATGATCAGCTTTTGTAAAGGTAATAAGCGAAGAAATAAATAACTACACACTCTCTAGTAGGACACCAAGAGAACAGAAATGTTCAGTATGATGCACGGTGAAAACTCTATGGACATTGAAGACTCAGGAGAGACTGTGCAGTTATATGGTCTCAGCTACGCAGAAAGCTGAGGCAGGAGGATCACAGTCTCAAAGAAGAAAATGAACAAAACATATAGGATAAGAAACTTCATCGCAGAAGTTTGAAAACTTGAGGAAATGGATAATTTCTTAGTATAATGTACCAAATATATATAGAAAGAAAATATGGCCATGTGGTAGTGGCACAGGTCTTTAATCCCAGGTCAGCCTGGTCTGAGGGCTACACAGAGAAGTCCTGCCTCAAAAAATCAAACAAAACAAAACAATGGCCGGGCGGTGGTGGCGCACGCCTTTAATCCCAGCACTCAGGAGGCAGAGGCAGGTGGATCTCTGTGAGTTCGAGGCCAGCCTGGTCTACAAGAGCTAGTTCCAGGACAGGCTCCAAAACCACAGAGAAACCCTGTCTCAAAAAAAAAAAAAAATGTATATGAAGAGTCCCTTAACTACGAATAAACAAATCAAGTTTCAAATCTTCCCGTAAGAAAAACTCTGGGGCCTGGTGATTTCAAAGTTGAATTCTACAAACAGTTTAAGAAAGACTTATCTGGTCACTCCTATCTCTCCGGCCAGAGCAGTCCTGGTTCTAAACTGTGACCCAATCGTTGCAAACAGGAATGAGATGACAAGCCTGTCTTACTTCTGACCCCAACTCTGGCTGTTCTCCATGAAACGCTGGCAAGCCAGGTGCAGCAGCCATCGGGAAGCTGCACCAGTTTCTGGGTTCCTTCCTGGGAAAGGGTGGTGTGACAGGGACAGAGGGGCACCCGCATTGTCTGCTCTCTATCACCACCCAGCACACAGACGACTCTGGGCGGTAAAGCAGAGAGCGGTGGGGCTGACCCACAGAAGCTTCCATCTGTCCTTGCTCAGATACCAGGGGAATGCACCCTGTACCCACGTCCCCTCCTTCTTACTAAAGAATGGAGAGAAGGCCCAAGGCAAGCCTGTTCCAGGAAAGATGCCTGTCCTCCTGCCCCACGGCCACAGCACTCCACACCAAGGACAGAACACTCCTGGGAAGGGCCTGTGGACAGAAGTCTGTGGAAAGCCCCGAGGGGCCCAGGGACATCAGACAGCTAGCACTTGGCAGTGTGAGCGCTGTTCAGAACTCCAGGGTCTCTCCGAGGCCATAACTGACCACCACCATCTGTTTACGGCCAGTCTGGAGTATTTCATCGTAGACGTTTGATGCTGATGTCCCTCATAGGCTAAGATATTTGAATACCTGGTCCCCAGTCGAGGGCACCGTTTCCATGCAGGTTTAGGATACATGACCGGAGGCGTCTGTACAGTCTCTAACCCTCTGCAATTGCAGCCAGAACAAATGCTTTCTGCTGTAAGGCCCAGTTTTTGGGGTCCTGTCATGGCAGCAGAAAAGCAATGGATACATTCACCATGACAGCCAGGGCAGACGAGGATTCCAAAGGCCCGGGAAAAAAGATGTCCATGCTCTCCAATGCACTAGGGACAGAATGTGCCAGACAGCCTCTAGGATGGCCAAACAGGGAGAGGCTGCCCTGCAAACTGCACGGAGGGCGAACGGCAGAAGCACTGTGAAGTCCGGCATTATCCACCGACACGCAACATAGGCCAAATGCGCATGCGCATTTCATTCCACTTACATGAGGAAACAGCTCTCACCTAACACGGGGACTTCGGAGGACCCCTGGTTCTGGAGATGGGGTGTCTGAAGATGATGAACACTGTGGAGCTAGGCATGCATTTGTAAGATTTGCCTCAGGGATTCACCTTAATTTCACACAGTGAGCACAGGGTTTGGGTAGCCAGGGGCTCTCACCAGCTGCTTCTGCGGAGCTGTGGGCACCAGGCTGTGGGTTGGCAGTGGGCAAGGCCACCGTCACTGGCTCTCCGACACCTCGCTGCTGCTCTTCCAGGGCTTTCAGCTTGTGCTTTAGGTTCTGCATTTCTGCTTCAAGCACCAGAACATAATCTGCCGAGACACCAGGGAACATGGCACACGCTCACCGGCGTCACTGGCCTATAGTTTCGGCTGCAGGGCTTGAAGGCAGCCTCCGACCCTGCCCTCTCTTGCCCCAATTCTCAGCCTAGCCCCTGTATCCTCCAGGAAGGTTCTGGGGCCAGGAGGAAGAACTTGCCTGTCTTCCTTTGGCTTTGGCCATAGAGGGCACAACTCCCACACCAGGGATCAGACCCTTGGAAGCAGCCATGGTGCCTGCTAGGAACTAGGCAAAGGTGGGGCTGCCAGCTCAGATCCACCTCAGGATGCTCCTCTTGCGGAAGGTCTGGCCCCCAGCCTTGCCGCCAGTGCCTCATTCTGCCCAGTCTGATGGCTTCCCAGGTCCATCAGATATGTGCCTTGCACTTTCTCCTCCATGTCACCAAAGAAACACTGTTTCTCTTGGAGGACCAGCAAGTGCCGAGTTTTGCAGTGGTTTACGAGAGGGTGGCTACGGTGAGAGACTGGGGTGAGAAGCTTGTCTGGGGCTCCTGCTCTCACCACACCACTCACCCCTCCTTACAGCTACATCCTCTCACCTGGAGGGGCTGGATCTCCTCCAGCCTGGGGATCAGGGCTTGGCTCCGAGCACTCTTCCGGTTGAGCAGAAGGAAGATGGCAGCTCAGCATTTCCATCTCTCGCCTCATCTGTGCAACAGCGTTCCGCAGACCCGCATTCTGCTCCTGCAGCCTCTGGATCTCACTAGATGGAGACTCTTTCCTCATTTCTCCTTCATGCTGCTGTGGAGGTACCTGCCAACCACACACACCCAAGGAGAATAGTTAAGGACACAAAAGAGGAGGTTCTCTGCTTAAATCCAGCTTGGAGCCATGCTACTCCACATCTGTCCTCTAGACACTATCCTCTGAGTGTAACGGCCACCATCTTTATCAGAGAAGCTGTTATTTGCAAGAGACCCCCTCCCCCGCCAAGATTAGGCTTGCCAACCGCTGACACCCCACAGGTGGGAATGGTGGCTCACTGGGCTTCCCCGACATTCTGGCCCCCACTCCTGCATTCCCCACCCACCACTATGCGATCTGGCCTTCACTGCTCATGGTCTAGAAGTGTGTCAGGGTATATATGGACCGTGGAAGGTTAACTGAAGAGAAGGGGTCCATCTGTACAGCTATGGGAAGTCAGTGGCCACACTGGGGCAAAACTGGTACTAAGAAGGCCATGGCTTTCCCTGTGTTCATGGAAGTAGCTCATTCATGATCTGTGTGTAAGCCCCGCAAACTCTTTGGTTTCCCAGGTTGGGTCAATAGAACTGTACTTTAATTTGTCATCAAGCCTATACAGTGGGGGTAGATGCTTGGTTCCCACGACACAATGATCCTCCTCACCCACAGGCACGTGCCTCGAGAGGCATCGGTTCGTGATGCACCATGATAGAGTCTTTCAGTAGCTGGAGTCACAGGGGCTAGGGAGGAGGGAGGGGTTGAGGAAACTCTGGAGGTGGATGGTGGTCCAGTCTCATGCCCGTGTTCAGTGTGCCAAAGGCTTTAAGGGGTTTACGCAGCTTTCATACAGCACAGAGCACATCTGAGGCGGAGCGTGGGAACTATGCACGCAGCAGAAAGCATCCAAAAAGGATCAGATTTTAGAGCTCCTGGGGCTGGGGAAACACGAGGTGCAGCAAACTGACACCCAGAACAAGAAGGGAAAGAGATGAATTTGGCCAGAGGTATTTCAAAGTCCCCCTCAGTGCAAACTGAGACTCAAGAGTGACCTGTTAGCAGCTTCTCTGGTCATAAGCCAGGCAAGACCTGGCACAGGTGGTCCTAGCTGGTCTTTTGAGGAAGAGACATGAATGTGTCTAACAGCACATCTTTAATATATATATATTTATTTTCATGTTACATGCATGACTGTTTTGACTGCAAATATATATACATATATATACACACACACACACACACACACACACACACACACACACACACACACACATATATCACAAATACACTACTTCTGTGCCAGAAGAGGGTGCTGGATACCGGAACTGAAGTTACAGACGGCTGTGAGCTGCCGTACGGTGCTGGGAACTGAATCTGGGCCTCTGTAAGGGCAGCAAGAGCAGGAAGAGCTCCTGACTGCTGAGTCGTCTCTCCAGCCTCCCTCAACCCCAGCCCAACCGCAGCATTTTAACCGTGCTTGTGAACAATCTAACACCCTGCTAGGAAATGATCCCAAAATGGGCAGGCCTCCCATGTATGTCAGTCAGCCGCGGCATATCGAGTTGAGTTGCAGTAAGATTTGGAGGAGGAAAGGGTAGGAGGAGGGGAAAGAAGGGAGGAGGGAAGAGGAAACAGATCAGGCTGGAAAAAATTAATAAATAATAAAAAAGAAATTAAAAAAGAAAATGATTCAGGAAACTAAGGCATGTCATGTCTCCGTTTACATTGTGTTTCTGAGAAATCTCTATGCAGCAGAAATATTTGTGGTAGAATTTAAGGAAAAGATGAACTTCCTAGTAAAATGCTCAGCTCTGCCCCCTCCAGCTACAGGTCCCCCACCCATGCTCAGCCCACTCCATCCCATCTGTCTGCCTACCCCTCAAGCGCGTGGCGTGGATTTCCGGCAAAAGTACCACCCTCCAGGGACAAGTGCCAACTTCCTGAGGCTGAGAGACTGAGCTGGGTGTGCTCTAACCCTGTGTGACCTCAAGGGTTGTGCTGCTAACTACAGCCACCCCCACTTAAAAATTACATTCTCTGTGTGTGTTTGTGCGTATTTATACACACGCCATAGCCTGCATATGGAAGTCAGAGGAAAACCTGAGAAAGGTGATCCTCTCCTCCCACAGTGGGTCTTGGGGATCAAACTCAGGCCTCCACGCCGACCAGCAAGCACCCTTACCCAGGGGACCATCTCACCGGCCCAACTGCAACCTTTGAAGTTGCTGTCAGCTCTCTGACTCCTAGAACAGAACTTTTAACCCTGGCCCTGGCTCACCAATGCTTTTCTTCAGTCAGGCTGACTGGATGTGTGGCCCATGGCTCACAGCCTTCCAGCCCCACCTCCTCTTAGGCCAGCTCAGCTCTCAGCAGCACTCAGCCTCTCCTTTATTGACTGTGGAGACCCCTTTTCTCTGGGAAGCAGAGACACACTACAGGAGCCTGGTCACCTCTGTGTCACCTCACATCTGCAACACCGAGTTGGCTAAGAGCCTGTTCTGGCTTCAGGCTGGCTGCATCGCTCCCTCTTGGGGTCCCCAAGGTGACAACTCTGGAGCACAAGGGCCACCATTTGATCTGCTGTAGACAATGAGTAAAGCCCTACATCTCAGGTGCTCCTAGCGGGGCCTGCAGAGGGCCCTGCTCTGTAATACTCAGCAGCATCTCCAGTCCTGACGTTTGCAGCTCGCCAGTCAAGGCAGGCTGGAAAGCCTTCATTCAGTCCAAACTTATGTAATGCTGCCAGTCAGGAGCTGGTGAGCACTCTCCATGCTGAGTTCTGGTCCATCACTCCACTCCAAAGTTGTGCCTGAGTTTGTGCATGCATTCAGATTCTGGAAACTGTTGTGGTCACTTTGGCTATTGGGACCTCAGCCAGATACTCTGTCCAAGATCAAGGGTGCACTTAAGGGGTGGGTGGGTGTGGATTGTTCCTGACTACAGAGCACACTTCTAAAGTTTATTGTTTACTTAACAAAGAAACTAGCCAACTGATAGCCCTTGCTGACCTGCTTAGCTGGTACTTGGAGACAAATGTCTTTTTTTGATTGCCAGCCTAGGGGAAAAGTACAAGAAAGTTTCCAGTAAGGGACCATTGATGAAAATAAGCACCCTTTTCTTGTCATTTTCTAGAGCTTTCCTGTGTTCATACTGGGGAGCACTTCATATATGATTTCATGAAAGCCTGTGGGATAAGAGGTCATGGCTACCAAAGATATCCACTCCCTCACTGTCTCCTTCCTCCTCCTTTTTCCAAGGCAGGGTTTCTCTGCGTAACAGCCCTAGCTGTCCTGGAACTCGCTCTGTAGACCAGGCTAGCCCCAAACTCACAGAGATCCACCTGCCTCTGCCTCCCAAGTGCTGGGATTAAAAGCGTGTGCTAACATGGCACAGTTTTGAATGGCATTCTCTTAATTAGTGATTGAGAGGGGAGGGCTTAGCCCATTATGGGTGGGGACACGTCTGGGCTGGTGGTCCTAGGTTCTATAAGAAAGCAGACTGAGCAAGCTAGAGGGAGTAAGCCAGTTAAGTTGCAACCCTCCATGGCCTCTGCATCAGCTCCTGCCTCCAGATCCTGCCCTGTTCGAGTTCCTGCCCTGACTTCCTTCAGTGATGGACTACGATGTAGAAGCATAAGCCAAACCCTTTTTCCCCCAACTTGGGTCTGGCATGGTGTTTGATCACAGCAATAGTAACCTTACCTAGGACAGAAACCGGTACCAGGATAATGAGATATCACTGTGACAGACCTGACATTGTGTTTTGGGGAGGGTTGTGGAAGGACTTTGGAACTTTGGGCTAGAAAAGCCATTGAGTGTTGAGAGCTCAGCAGGCTGTTCTGTAGGAGCTGGGAAGACGAGAGAGAGAGAGAGAGAGAGAGAGAGAGAGAGAGAGAGAGAGAGAGAGAGAGGGGGGGGGGGGGAATGTCGGGAGCAGTGCAGACCATGGAGGCCTGGCCTGTGGGAGTTTAAAGACTCTGCTGGGCCATTTGTTATTCTAATTAAGAGGCCGTGTTTCTGGTCAGCTGGGGTTGAAGAATTGGGATGATTAAGAGGAGACCAGCACCTTTGCTTCACAATTGATGGGATAATTGATGCTGGTCACCTGATGCTGAGAACTGAGAGGTTAAGAAGAGACCAGCATCGCTAAGGTGAAACCTGGGAAGTGTTTCCTGAGGGCACAGAGAAGCTGTGTTCCAGAGTCAGCCAAGGTTGTACCTGGTGCTGGCGGCCTGATGTGGTCATGTGTGAGTGTCACCGAGGTGTGACTGGATGGCAGGCATGGAGGGGACGGAGAGCAGCTGAGGTGAGGCTGAAGCTGAGGCCCCAGCAGCAGTCAGTGGCCCAAGACTAAAGGGGTCACGCCACGAAGACTGCAACCCAGGTGCAGCAGAAGGTTCAGGAGTTTGGAGATGTCAGAACCATGGGACGACCACAGTAGCAGTGGAGCGGAGCCTGCCCCAGCTTAGAATACAAGTTGTGTGTGCAGCAGAGGGTGGGGCTGGAGAAGCGACCCAAACCCATAGTTGTGAGGCTTTGGACTTTTTTTTAGACTTTGGGTTTTAAATGAGGCTTGGGATTTTTAAACAGGCTGAACTGTGTGTATGTATGTGTGTATCTGTGAACAAAGCCGTACAGGTATGTTAGTGCCCGTGCTCTCTGGGGCCAGAGATAACAGATCCCCTGAAAACGGGAGTTATAGGTAGGTGCTGGGAATTGAACTTGGGTCCTCTGTAAGATCAGGATGTGCTCTAACCACTGAGCTATCGCTCCAGCCCCAGGCTGAACTTTGCTTTGTTTTTGTTTTTCAAGACAGGGTTTCTCTAGCTTTGGAGCCTGTCCTGGAACTAGCTCTGTAGACCAAGCTGGCCTCGAACTCACAGAGATCCGCCTGTCTTCTGAGTGCTGGGATTAAAGACGTGCACCACCACCACCCAACCAGGCTGAACTTTTAAAGTGTTTGAATTTGTAAGACTAGCGGACTTTTATACATATACACATACATATACATACTTATATGTGATGTTTATATTAATGTTTGATTTTGGGGATGAACAAGGAAAGGTTAGGTTTGTGGCTTAGCAGTGATGTGTTTGTGTGTCAAGCTGGCAAGGGATAGTTGTGCTGGGCAGTTTTATGTCAGCCTGACACAGACTAGAGTCATCAGGGAGGAGAGAACCTCAATTGAGAAAATGCCTCCATAAGGTCAGGCTGTAGATACACCTGTAGGGCATTTCCTTAGTGATTGATGGGAGGGCCCAGCCCTCTGTGGGTGGTGCCATCCTTGGGCTGGTGGTCCTGGGTTCTATAAGAAAGTAGGTTGAAGCTGGGTGGTGGTGGTGGCATGTGCCTTTAATCCCAGCACTTGGGAAACAGATGGATATCTGAGTTTGAGGCCAGCCTGGTCTACAGAGTGAGTTTCAGGACAGCCAGGGCTACACAGAGAAAACTGTGACTCAAAAAAACAAAACAAACAAAAGTCCTGAAAGAGTGTCATCCTAAGAGCAGCCTTATCTTCAGATGGGCACGATTAGGGGAGCCCGATGAGGCCTGCCTGCCGGAGGACTAGCCCAGGCTTGGCTCTACAGAGTCTGCGGGAGTTCCTCACAGCTTCAGGACAGACGTCCATGAACTAGGTCCAGATGAATTTATCCTCTCCTGCTATGCAGGCCCACGCCTGACACTGCGCTTCCTGTAAATGCCTGCAGAGATCTGTGCCAGGCCACGTCAGGCCACGTCAGGCCACGTCGGCCTCTGATGTGTGCTCCTGGTATTCCTGGTTGTAAGTCTGTCACTCCAGTCTGGTGTCCCTGGTTGTAAGTCTGTCACTCCAGTCTGGTGCTCCTGGTTGTAAGTCTGTCACTATAGTCTCTGGTGTCCCTGGTTGTAAGTCTGTCACTCCAGTCTGGTGCTCCTGGTTGTAAGTCTGTCACTCCAGTCTGGTGTCCCTGGTTGTAAGTCTGTCACTCCAGTCTGGTGCTCCTGGTTGTAAGTCTGTCACTCCAGTCTGGTGTCCCTGGTTGTAAGTCTGTCACTCCAGTCTGGTGCTCCTGGTTGTAAGTCTGTCACTCCAGTCTGGTGTCCATGGTTGTAAGTCTGTCACTCCAGTGTCTGGTGCTCCTGGTTGTAAGTCTGTCACTCCAGTCTGGTGTCCATGGTTGTAAGTCTGTCACTCCAGTCTCTGGTGTCCCTGGTTGTAAGTCTGTCACTCCAGTCTCTGGTGTCCCTGGTTGTAAGTCTGTCACTCCAGTCTCTGGTGTCCCTGGTTGTAAGTCTGTCACTCCAGTCTGGTGCTCCTGGTTGTAAGTCTGTCACTCCAGTCTCTGGTGTCCCTGGTTGTAAGTCTGTCACTCCAGTCTCTGGTGTCCCTGGTTGTAAGTCTGTCACTCCAGTCTCTGGTGCTCCTGGTTGTAAGTCTGTCACTCCAGTCTGGTGTCCCTGGTTGTAAGTCTGTCACTCCAGTCTCTGGTGTCCCTGGTTGTAAGTCTGTCACTCCAGTCTGGTGCTCCTGGTTGTAAGTCTGTCACTCCAGTCTCTGGTGTCCCTGGCTGTAAGTCTGTCACTCCAGTCTCTGGTGCTCCTGGTTGTAAGTCTGTCACTCCAGTCTGGTGTCCCTGGTTGTAAGTCTGTCACTCCAGTCTCTGATGTCCCTGGTTGTAAGTCTGTCACTCCAGTCTCTGCCATCACATGGCCACCCTGTGCATCTGTGTGTCCTCTAAGGCTATCTTACATCCCAGAGTACAAACAAGCAGCCAGGCTCCCGTGGCTCCCATGGCTGGACGATTCCCATGCAGCAGGGGTGGGGTCCTCACAGATGCACTCTGGCTTTGTGTGCTAAGAGTCAGTGCGGGGAAGAAACTGTTCCTGGGCTCTGTGTGCCCCGCAGAATGACTGTGGGGATGAGTGTGTGCAGGGACGGATTACCATTATTTGTGGTATTGGGAATCAAATCTGGGGCCTGGATCATGCGAGGAAAGTGCTCTCTGTGTCCTTGCCTAGTAGCATTTTTTTCATTTGTTTCTGATAGAGAGAGAGCCTATGTAGTCCATGCTGGCCTAGAGAGCCTATGTAGTCCATGCTGGCCTAGAGAGCCTATGTAGTCCATGCTGGCCTAGAGAGCCTATGTAGTCCATGCTGGCCTAGAGAGCCTATGTAGTCCATGCTGGCCTAGAGAGCCTATGTAGTCCATGCTGGCCTAGAGAGCCTATGTAGTCCATGCTGGCCTTGAACTCACGATTTTCTTCCCTCAGTTGCCTGAGTGCTAAAATCACAGCACGTGCCACACACCTGCCTAAATTTTAAATACTGTGTGTGTCCATGTGTTTTGCTTGCTGGTGTGTACAGGTGTGCTCATGTGTATTACATGCTGGTGTGTACAGCTGTGCCCATGTGTATTACATGCTGGTGTGTACAGCTGTGCCCATGTGTATTACATGCTGGTGTGTACAGGTGTGCCCATGTGTATTACATGCTGGTGTGTACAGCTGTGCCCATGTGTATTACATGCTAGTGTGTACAGGTGTGCCCATGTGTCTTACATGCTGGTGTGTACAGGTGTGCCCATGTGTCTTACATGCTGGTGTGTACAGGTGTGCCCATGTGTCTTACATGCTGGTGTGTACAGGTGTGCCCATGTGTCTTACATGCTGGTGTGTACAGGTGTGCTCATGTGTCTTACATGCTGGTGTGTACAGGTGTGCCCATGTGTCTTACATGCTGGTGTGTACAGGTGTGCCCATGTGTCTTACATGCTGGTGTGTACAGGTGTGCCCATGTGTCATCGTGTGGAGTTCAGGAGCAGCACTGGATGACTCTGTAGATTTAGGTCCCTGTGGTCACACACGGCAAGCACTTTGCCAGCCGAACTGTAACCTTATCCCTTCAAATATTCTTATGTTGGGGGTGGATGGGGTTTGAGGCAGGGTCTCAATATATAACTCTGGTTGTCCTGGAACTCACTATGTAGACCAGGCTGGTCCCAAACTCACAGTTCTTCTGGGATTAAAGGGAGGAACTTTAATTCTTTACCATGCCCAGTCCTTGAAATATCTGTAACTATGGCCAAGCCCCATTGCATGCGACAGAGGGAATCCTGCCCACCTGGTCCTTCATGGCAACAGACGCAATAGGCAGAGAAACGAATCAATGAGGACTATTGGGTAAGGAGGTAGAACCAAGGGAAGTGTGTAGGGACTTTATAGGGTGGAAAATGCTTGCCGGAAGTGGACATGGTACAGTCTCTCATCAATCTCACTGCTCAGGGTGCTATGATCTTCACTTCACCACACTGAGGGGTGAGGACACCTCAAAAAAAAAAAAAAACAACCCAGCAAGGGAAACAAAACCATCTGCAGGCCTGGGAAAATGCTATTTCCTGCCTCTCTCCATCTAAGGCTGCCTCTAGGCCCCCCAGTCCCCCTGAGCTCCCGCCCTGAGCCCTCCCAGCCCCTCTGCCTAGGAATTTAGTCCTGCTAACAACTGCAACAGCTTAGGCAGATTGGTCTCCATGGCGGTATCCACCTCTATGAGGAAGAGACTTGGGTTTATAGATAAAGATGCTTGCTGCAAGTCCAGAAGTCTGAGTGAGGTCCTCAAAACCCACATAAAAGTGGAAGGGGAGAACCAACTCCACAAGTTGCCCTCTGACCTTCGGATGCTTGTCGTGGCTCCTCCAACAACAATAATAAATAAAGATAAAGTTAAGAGATGGAGTTAGCAAATTAATGGTCTCGTGAGCATTTAACTATGAGCGGTTCTGAAGACTCAACAGTGACTTGACACTGCCCCCTAGTGTCGAGTGGCGCCTTTGGATGTAGGGGTGGAGCCTCGAGGGCTAAAGAGCAGGGAACTCCTCGCACTGGAACGCCCACTAATGCAGTAAAGCTCTGGACTTGCCCTCGTTGGGGCAACTGCCATTGAGAGGGGCTGGACCGAGAAAGTCCTAGCCGACCTAGTAGACACGGAAGTCTCTTCCGCAGCTGTGGACGGAGGGAAGGAAGGCTCTTCAAGCCAGCAGGGGGCTCACCTGTGCCTCCTGTCCGGTGACTAGCCCGTGTGTCCGCAGAGTCTCCACGGCCTGGTCTCGTTCCAGTGACACAGCCTTCAGCAACGTCTCCTGCTGACGCAGCGCCTTCTCTGTCTCCTGGAGCTTAGCAGCAACCTGGGGAAACGTCCATCAGTGGGCGGAGACCAGCACCCTCCTGCTAGAGAGTGGACAGCAGGAGCAAACGCACAGCCACAAGACAAGATTTACAAGCAGCACTCAGAGCGCTAGGGCCACCTAGTGGTGGAGCAGGACTTTCTGTTCAGCCATGGTACCGAGTTTGCCCTGGTCAGCACTCTCAAAACCATGCCACAGCTAAAGGGAACAGCTCGTACAGTGAATACATTTGGAGATAGGGCAGAGACTTATTTGTACTCAGATTGGCCTTGAACTTGGGATCCTCCCTCTTCCCCAACCCCAGCAGCTGGGATTACAGGGCCCCATCACTGCACCAGTGTGGCTGTGACTCACTGCTATAAATTAACTGGTATTTAAGGCTTTGTGTTTTCTGAGTTAAAAAATAATATGGCAAGGGCCACACCCATCTTCTACAGTACTGCATAGACGCCACACCATCTTCAGTACTTCATGGATGCCAACCCAGAACTAGCCAACGCACCTGGTCTCTGGCCTTGGTCAGCCCTTGGATCAAAGTCTCTGATTTCTGGATCTGGTCTCGCTCAACATCATCGCAACGGCGCTGCCAGTCTAGACCCAGCTGCACCTGGTCGCGCTCCAGGCTCTGTTCCCTTTCCACTGCCAGGGACAGTTGCTGCTTGTACCTATAGACACAGTCCAATGTCCCAAGTTGTGGAATATTTTAAGATGTGTTACATTTGTTTATGCTGTGGAACATTTGTTTTAATGATGCAAAGATGTGTTACATTATTTTATGTTGCATTTGTTTAACTCTGTGAATCTGTGTTACTCTGCCTATCTAAAACACCTGATTGGTCTAATAAAAAGCTGAATGGTCAGTAGCTAGGCAGGAGAGAGGCTAGGTGGGGCTGACAGGCAGAGAAGATAAAGAGGAGGAAAAATTTGGGAAAAGGAGATGGAGGAGCAAGAAAAGGAGGAGGGACTCCTGGGGCCGGCCACCCCGCTACCAGCAAGCCACGAAGTAAGAAGTAAAGAAAGATATGCAGAATTAGAGAAAGGTGAAAGTCCAGAGGCAAAAGGTAGATGGGATAATTTAAGTTAAGGAAAGCTGGTTAGAAATAAGTTAAGGCTAGGCATTCATAAGAAAGAATAAACCTCTATATGTATTTATCTGGGAGCTGGGAGGCAGGTCCCTCAAAGAGCAAAGAACAAAGAGCAAAAAAATCAAACTACACCATGTTAACTTTCTTTCCTGCGGTCTCTTCAACATTAAGAGCAAAGGCAGAATGCAGGATGAGGGGCTGACATGATGCTCTTCCGTGTCCTTCCCATCTCAAGTGTAGCTTGTGCTGAGGTACGGGGAGAAGCTCGCCTATGGGAGACCTGGAGGAACATTAGCACCTGGGGACAGGTGAACATAATGGGCAGATGTCAAAATTCTCCAAATGCTGGAGAAAACGGTGCTGGAGGGAGGTGGCCACACTCAGCAGAGAGAACCAGTGTGCAAGCAGGGAACTGAAGGTGTCACAGCTAAACCCTGAACAGAGAAAATTGGAGCATGTGCCACTGGAACACGAAAGCTGAAAGAGCAGGAGGAGCCGAGGGTCCATGTCAGACAGCAGTGAGGACAAAGGGGGCAAAGGGAACTGGCTATACTGATACAGAACCCAGCACGACCAGTGAGCAGCCGGCACCACCCTAAATGCAGCCGCACTCGACATCAGAGCTAAAGACAGAGCCGAGAGGGAGCCACGCCTAAGCACAGTTATTCTCTTCTCTAACTGACAGAACCAGTGGGCAGATCACAGGGACATGGGAGACAAGAACACTGTTAGCCACCAGAGTGGTACAGGTGACATTTTCAGAGCCCAGACTGCAACAAGAGCATGCTTTATCCTTTAGGGCTACTTAGCCAGCCATCAGGGCAGAGCACGTTCCAAAGCCACGAAACAGATCGCAGAGGAAATCAATTGTGCAAGGTGCATTCCACATGCACGGCCAGGTTAGGTCAGAATCGCGGACAAATGGAACCTGGGACTAGAACATCTCCTGGCCTGAGAAGAACATACAAGGAGACTGTATTTCTGCTGAGCAGACCAGGATTCATTGGGTGTGGCTAAGCTGTGTTTGAAAAGAAATTTATACCACGAATCGTATCTGATGGAAGGAAGGATGCTCAGAGTAAATCATCGTGGCTCCACTGTCAGGATCAATCAGAACAAATAACCAGATCCAAAGGAAATAGAAGAAAGTAGTAGTAGAACTGAAAACAGTTGAAAAAAAATCAAATCAAAAAGCTGGTTCTTCACAAAGATTTGAAGATCGATAGACCCGATAAGCCTGTAGTGAGGCTGGTTGGGAGTAAAGGGAAGGCCCTAAAATGCCCAGTGCGTGAGCAAGAGGGGCACACACAGCAAGGTAACAGGAGCCAGGGATGTGCGACAGTGAGATGAAGTGGACAGACAGACACAAAGAACAAAATGAACAGAAAAAGTATTAGAGAGGAAAAAAATCTTGAAAAAAAAAAGAGAGAGAGAGAGAGAAAAAAAAAGGCAGCTAGTTGGGTGGTGGTGCACGCCTTTAATCCCAGCACTCAGGAGGCAGATACAGGCGGATCTCTGTGAGTTCGAGGCCAGCCTGGTCTCGAGAGCGAGTTTCCGACATCTGGAACTGTTGTCACACAGAGAAACCCTGCCTTGAAACCTGTCCCCCTTCCAGAAAATAAAAGGCAGCTACGAACTCAAGCATCACAAGACTGAGTATCAAAAAGAATTCGCAGCATCCTAACCTCAGTGATGAAGACACCAGAGTCAAAAGTCACACTTAGACGCCCAGTCTGGGCGGGCAGCAGATGGGAGTGGGGGCAGTGGGGGCTGCAGACCTGCGGGGATCTGGGTTAGAGGGTAGGGTGCACGTGTCTGGTTACCCAGATCCGTCTCGTGGACAGGGCTTTACATCTGCCTGAGTCCTTACAGTGAACAGGGAACACATTTTTAAATTTAAATTTATTTTCTTTCTTTCTTTTCTTTCTTTCTTTTCTTTCTTTCTTTTTTTTTTTTTTGAGACAGGGTCTCTCTATGTAGCCTTGGATGTCCCAGAATGCTGTGCTGTCATTGAACTCATGAAAGTCTGCCTGCCTCTGCTTCCAGAGTGCTGGGGTCAAAGCTAAAACACAAGCATGTTGAAGGCAGAGGAAGTGGCCACTCCTCAACACCCACCATCCCTTTGGCTGCTTTCCTTGAAGCCTGAAATTCTTCATCTCAAAGGTGTCTGGGCATGCCCTCTTGGCTAGGATGTCTGCTCTCTTGACCACCACAATCTGCTTACGTCTCTTTTACTGATCCTCCCAAGTTTCTTTCCCTGCAGTTCCAATCCCGAGGATCTGCCTTGGGACAGTACCTGTCTATGTCCTTCTGGAACCTGGCCACCTGTGCCTTGAGCTTCCCCTCTTCTTCCTGTAGCATCTGGACCTGAAGGTCTTTGGAGACAGCCTCCTTGGACATCTGAGTGATCTGGGCATCCCAGGCAGCTTTCAAAGCTGCTGCGTCTTCATGAAGTCTGCACGGGAAGAAGTGTGTGAATCCAGCTAGGTTCCCTTATACTCCCTCAGCTTCTATATAGACTCGGAGGAATGCACACATAGCTGTCCGGTCCATGCAGAAAAGCCACAGTTCTACTCAGTAAGAAACATCTAGCAGTCAACTACGTGAATGTTAACACCATTGACTATATACAGGGTTAAATTACGCAGAGTGGAGAGCTGATCGGCACCCACAGCCAATGGGACTGAGGATTGAGGAAGTGCCCAGCACAGCCCCCAACACATTTCAGTGGCAAGCACAAGTAGATTCCAGAGGCTGCTCATTAGCTTGGCAGTAAGTGTTGCTGGGACATTTTCCTCGGGAACACAGGCCCTCTTTAGGGAAGGCATTGTGCTGATCTAAGCAAGACCATCCCTCCTCAGAGGGACAACTCTGTTCCTGTCACAGGATTCACCAGGGATCACATCCCTGAGCACAGACCTCTTGAGCCAAGCAGACTGTGAGTAGCAGCTGCTTGCCACGCAGCTGCTCCAGAGTGAGGCCGCCCTCGATCACGGAACCCAGCATCGGTGTTTCAAACCTGGTCTGTGCCAACATCTCTACACATTTTGGGAGTCTGGCTGTCTGTGCTGGTTATCTGGTACCGAGCAGACGGACCTAGAAATGCATACCTCGTCACATCTTGCCAACATCCCCAGCACCAGCACAGACACAGCTGGCCAGTGACCTGTGTCCACTGTAGCCTCCTCTTCACACTCTACCTCACTCCCCAAGCACTTGGCCCAGATTGGGTGCCAGGCTATGACTGCCGCACCCTTACATGGAGACCAGTAGACACTGACCATTCCAAGTGAAGCAGGCGGGTCACCACTAAACCCGTTTTTATCCCAATCCTACGTGTTTACCCAGGGGTCCTCGAGCAAACCCACTGCTAAGCACTGAGGTTGTCACTGAACGCCAGTGCATGCTCCGGATAGAGATGAGAATGGTATCTGAACTCCCAGAAGTGAGAACAGTGCCCTGTCTGCCTAGTAATAACTCTTAATAAGCAAAAAATACTTAGAGATAGAAACTAAAAGATAGTTAAAACTGGGTGTGGCATATAATTCCAGCACTTGGGAGGCTAAGGCAGGAGGATTGTGAATTCCAGGCTATCCAGTACTATATACGTGTGTGTGTGTGTATATATATATATATATGTATGTATGTGTGTGTACACACACAGACACACACACACAGACACACACACACACACACACACACACATATATGGTGAGACCCTCTCTCCAAACAAAGACAAACACATGTAGTTTAAGGCTTCAAGAGGAGGCAGGAAGCAGCCAGGCTCCATGAGGTCCCAGCGTTGCAGCTACACTGATGGGGGAATGCAACAGCAATGACATAGCACCCCACACCCACAGCGCGCTGGGGCATCGCTGGCTCATCGAGGTGGCTGCCTTGGCTCTTACCTCACTGATCGATCAAGAGCACACTGGACTTAACCAAGTAACATGGAACGAGCATTTTAAAGTACAACATAAATTTGTTTTTTGTTTTCGTTTTGTTTTGTTTTTGAGATAGGGCTTCTCTATGTAGCCCTGGGCATCCTGGATCTCTGTGGACTAGGCTGACCTTGAACTCACAGAGATCCACCTGCCTCTGCTCCCTGTGTGTTAGGATTACAGTGTGTGCCACTATCATCTGGCCAATTTATAATTTCTTATTTTTCTGTTTTGTGTATGGGTATTTTGTCTGCATGTGAGTGCTGAGGGTTGAACTCGGATCCCCTGGAGGAGTGGTTAGCACTCTTAACCACTGAGCCATCTTGCTAGCCCATGTGGAATAAACTTTAATTTCCTGAAACATCGTAGTTCTAAGATCTACTTCTTCCCCTAACAGAAATGTAATTTGGCAGTCATTTTCTGTTAGAAAAAAAAAAAGATTGAAATACCCCCATCCCAAAGACACACCCAGCTGCTAAGTCTGAGAGCATGACGTCAGTGTTTCTCCTGAACACGGTGTTCCCATGGATGGGGGCGCAGGGCTGCACGCCCAGCGCTGTTACGACAGTCTCCCAGCTGACGAGGCACAGGTGGAGCAGATTGCCCAAACACTCTGGCCTGGATTGGATACTGAAGCACTGGGAAGCCCGAGGGAGGAGAGCAGAGGTCTCCCACACAGGCAAAACAAATGTAAAACCCAGAGCTGTGTGGTCCTCAAATTCCAGTTCTGTTCATATCCACAAGAGTTGAAAGTGAAGTCTATAAGGGAGGTCGGCCTGCCCGTGCAGACAGCAGCGCTGTCCACGCTCAATAGGCCAGAGGTTGACCCTGGGTGATGCCCCCCAGGAGGTCTCTCAGTGGGACCTGTGGCTCAATATTATGAGAGGCTAGCTGGCCCACGAGTCCCCACGGCCTCTGGAGGTAATGGATGGTTCCACACAGTCACAGTGATTTAAAGGAGAGTGGCAGTCGACAAACGTGGCTGAACGCACCTTGGGGACTCGAGTCTCTGTGACAGGCCAGTCACAGAAGGGCCAGTGCCATACGATTACAGCATGTGCTGTTCCTAGGGTAGCAGATTCACAGAGAAAGCAGACTGGAGGCCACTGGGAGGCTAGGGAAGGGGGGAAGCCAGCGCTGAATGGGAACAGTCCCGCCAATGGCTGGCATCCGACATGGTGGCACACACTTGCAGTCCCAGCACTTGGGAGGTGGACGCACAAGGATTATAAATTCAAGGCCAACTAAGGTTATAGGGCAAGTTCTGGACCAACTTTGGTCAAATGAGACCTTGTCTTAGAAAAAGCAAAAACTAAAGACAAACTTTGTTATGTATACTTTACCACAAATAATCATAAATATAAAAACTACATAATTAAAAAGAAAACATTAAGAGAAATGGTTAGAAAAAATGGCCAGAAAGTTCCAAAGTCCCTCCCACCTATTGCATGCAATTTCCCTTGGTCTAAAATGGCCCATGCCTGGCCAGGGCACAGGCACGCAGGGCTGTTGGGCCAGGCAGGCCAGAGGGAGTGGCTCACTTGTCAATAAGGGCATTCTTTTCTTTGGCATCATCAGCTCGCGTCCACTCGGCCCTGCGCAGTTGCCCCTCCAGGGTTTCGCAGTGGGCTTGCAGCTGCAGCACCCTGGCCTCCAGCGCTCGCAGCTGCTCTGCATGGGCGCTCTTCACTGCTGCCAGCATTGCGTCTTTCTTCCTGGCTTCACAGTCAAGCTCTTCATGTCTGGAACACAGGGAAGGGCCCCACCAGGGTTCACTCAGTGCCCTGGAGTCTCCAAAGTGTCTGCCATCTGTTCTCACACTACAGGATCCCCGACAGGATGCCGGCTTTACAGGAGTGACTTGGGGGTGAGCTTGCTCTTCCTATGTAAGCAGCTATTCTTAGATGCCAGGCTCCTGGATGCATCCCAAAGCTCACGAGACAGACACCAAAACAGTTCACAAAGCACTCTTAGCTCAGCACCGAGACCGCGACCAGCCCACGGAGGGCACAGGAACACTCTCAGCTCATCACTAGGGAGGTGTGTTATCGCTACAGTTACTGTGTTTCCTTTGGAAGAGAAAGTAAATGATTCTTGCCCTGGGGGCTAAAACCCTAGAGCTGGAGCTTCCAGCTGAGCTCACTCATGGGGCCTCTCACCCCATCCCCAACCCACTCCATGGAGCTACCTTGTTGACTGTGCTGTTCCAGCACCTCCTGAACCCCACGATAGCCTGGAGGAGGGGCAATGTTTCAATGGCCCTGCTGAAGTTCCACCTTGAGCCAACACACCACCTACTTCCTGGGTGTCCCAGACCTTGGCAACAAGAAGCACCTGCTGCAGTTGGCTGGGTCCCAACCTACTCTGGTCACAGGCTATGTCAGCAGGAAAAAGAGAGCTCAGAGAATCTACATCCATGAGAATAAGAGGTGACTGCATCAACATGGTAAAGTTTGGGGCTACAGTCTAAAATTTATAGTTAATAAAACATTCAAGCCGGGCGATGGTGGCGCACGCCTTTAATCCCAGCACTCGGGAGGCAGAGGTAGGCGGATCTCTGTGAGTTCGAGACCAGCCTGGTCTACAGAGCTAGTTCCAGGACAGGCTCCAAAGCCACAGAGAAACCCTGTCTCGAAAAACCAAAAAAAAAAAAAAAAAAAAAAAAAAACATTCAAGTTTTAAACGTTAACTTTCAATTTTTTAAATATTTATTTAGTGGTGGGCATTGTGTGAAGTCACGTGTGTGAAGTCAGTTCTCTTCTTTAACCGCATGGATTCCAGAGTGGGAACTCTGGCCACTCGCTCCCTATGGTGGCAAAGATTTTATGTACAGAGCAAGCTCACTCACCCATAAAAGTTAACTTTTAACTAAGGCTATACTTTTTAAAAGCGTGTTTTGGCACTGGAGATTAGATCCAGAATTTCAGGCATGCTAAGCTTGTGCTTTACCAATGACCTGGAGCCCTGGCCCTTAAAGAATTTTAAGTTTTGAGATGTTGAAAGTCTAACCCTCTCTGAGGAAGTAGAGCATGGAGCCAAAGCATCACGTGAGCACAGGCTACCCGGCACAGGGCCCTTGTCGTCAGTGACTACAACCCAGACTCTCTCCCAGAGCTCCCCACCCAGGCACAAATACTCACTTCCTCCTGACGGTGTCCTCGGCTCTCTTACTGGCCAGCTGTACAGAGTGAAGCTTCTCCTCCAAGTCCTTTATCCTGAACAAAAACTGTATCAGTAAAGAGCAGTTACAGAAGAAGCCGAAGCAAAGAGCTGGCATAGCTAGGAAGGCAGGGCCACCAGGCTCTAGCCCTGATGGCCACAGTGCCCGGGAGGAGAACCCACGCACCGACCATCCTTCACGGCCTCCAGATTCTGGAACTCCAGGGCACGGCCCTGTAGCCTCCTCTCCAACTCAATGTGCTCTGCCTCTGCCTTCTGCAGACTCTCTGTGGCCTGCGCCCCAGCTTCTCTCAGAGCCTGCAGCTCTTTGTTCAGTAGCTTCACCTAGGAAAGTCCGGGGGAACAGCTGTGGGAGGATGCTGAGGTGCTTGCAGCTCAGATCAAAGCTGGCAACAGTGAACTGGAGAGCTAGAAAGCCCGCCAAAGCCCCGGCAGGGACGGTTACCTTGAGCTCATGGGCCAAGACCACATTGCTCATGTCGTCTGCCCTCAGCTGGAATTCGTGCTCCCGTCTCTGCATCTCAGATTCAAACTCCAGCAGCAGCTCCTGTGAGTGGGGAGTGAAGGAGGGCAGCGACCTCAGACACCTCAGGTCAGGCTTGAGACCACGGTCCGTCGTGAGCCGCAGTGTCTTTATAGCACATACAAAGTTTGTTCTGCACGCGTGATAGTTACCTACAGAAAACAAAGGCTTCGTACCACCATTCTTCAATATGTATCTTTATAGACCTTTGGTTTTTATTACGTAAGAATGCTTAATTTAGCCGGGCGGTGGTGGCGCACGCCTTTAATCCCAGCACTCGGGAGGCAGAGGCAGGCGGATCTCTGTGAGTTCGAGACCAGCCTGGTCTACAGAGCTAGTTCCAGGACAGGCTCCAAAGCCACAGAGAAACCCTGTCTCGAAAAAAAAAAAAGGATGCTTAATTTTAAAAGTTTCTGTCTGTCCGGGTAGTAGTGGTGCACGCCTGAGGCAGGCGGATCTCTGTGAGTTTGAGGCCAGGACAGTCAGAGCTGTTTCACACACACACATTTTGCTTGTGTGTATGTCATTTGCCTGCATGTATGTCTGCACTACAAGTGTGCCTGGTGCCCTTGGAGGCCAGAAGACGGCATCAGATTCCCTAGAACTGGAGTTACAGTTGGTTGTGAGCTGCCACATGGATGCTGGGAATTGAACCTGGGACTTCTGCTCTAAACCACCAAAACATCTCTCCAGACCACAGACAAACTTCTATCACTTTGTACTATATTTAAGTAGAGCAATCTTCTCATCATTGATATCAAAATATCAACCAGCTCTGAAAAAAACTTGAAGATGCTTGATGTTCTAAGCATCAAGTAGTCAGCCAAGATTTCACCATTTATGTAAAAATAAACAAGCACATCCAATTCATTCGTAGGCAAATTTGCTTTCTTTGTTACTAAATGATCAAATTAAATGTAAACTAAAGTTTTCTTTGTCTTTGTTTTTGATAGGGTCTTACTGTGTAGCACTGCCTGGCCTGGAACTTACTATGTAATTAAAATTTTTTAAATATGTGCGAGTGTTTTGCCTGCATGTATGTCTGCACACTGCATGAGTGTCTAGGGCTTGCTTGCATCAGATCCAATGGAACTGGAGTTACAGTTTTTAGCCCCCACGTGGGTGCTGAGAATTGGACCCAGCTCCTCTGGAAGAGCAGCCAGAGCTCTTCATCGCTGAGCCATCTCTCCAGCCCCAGTAACTTGCTGTTCAGACCAGACTGGCCTTGGATTCAGAGATCCACCTGCCTGTGCTCTCAGGTGCTAGGGCTAAAGGTGCGCACCACCATGCCTGGCACCACCATGCCTGGCGCCCAAAGACTGTTATATTTCTCCACATTTCTCCACTTAAATGTGTGTGTCTGCATGTGTGCACACTGTGGGGAGGTCAGAGGACAACTTGCTGGAGTCGGCTCTCTGCTTCTACCACGTGAGTTCTAGGGACAGAAATCAGGTTGGCAGGCTTGGCAGCAAGTGCTTTTACTCAATGAACCATCTTGCCAGCCAAGAAAGATTTTAAATTAACTTTATCTATGATTTATTACCAGTAACTGTGTGATTTACATTTCTATTTTATATACATATACTAATATATATCAAGCTACATAAAAATTTCTCAGGTAAGTGAGGCAGTGGTGGTGCACGCCTTTAATCCCAGCACTTGAGAGGCAGAGACAGACAGATCTCTGATTTCAAGGCCAGCCTGGTCTACAAGAGCTAGTTCCAGTACAGGCTCTAAACCCATCTCAACAAAACAAAAAAAAGGAACCTCTCTCTTCTAAGGGAGAAGCGGCTCACGGGTGCCGCCCTCAAAGGGGCTGGTGTAGCTCCCTCAGTTGGGTCAGAATGCGGGCTGCACAGTCACCTCAATCAGGGCAGCACACACATGCGGACTGTACAGTCACCGCTGTCAGGGCAGCACACACATGCGGACTGGACAGTCACCGCCGTCAGGGCAGCACACACATGCGGACTGCACAGTCACCACCGTCAGGGCAGCACACACATGCGGACTGTACAGTCACCGCCGTCAGGGCAGCACACACATGCGGACTGTACAGTCACCGCTGTCAGGGTAGCACACACATGCGGACTGTACAGTCACCGCTGTCAGGGTAGCACACACATGCGGACTGCACAGTCACCGCTGTCAGGGCAGCACACACATGCGGACTGTACAGTCACCGCTGTCAGGGTAGCACACACATGCGGACTGTACAGTCACCGCTGTCAGGGTAGCACACACATGTGGACTGTACAGTCACCGCCGTCAGGGTAACACACACATTACACACATCTCCTCATTTCTCTGACATGGTGAGGTCAGCCATGGGGTCCCTGGCTGATTAGGGTGTTCACTGGCCTAATCTTTCTACTACCTAGTGTCAGTCATCCTTCACCTCACTCTTGGAGCCCTTGGGAGGACTGAGTGCTCAGGAACGTGTGAGCCCCTTTGGACCTGGGCCCTGCCCTGCCCACCACCAGACTGGCCCTGAAAGCAGGGCTGAGGGGGCACAGACGCAGCTGTGAGGGAGCTGCCCCCCTCCCAGTCCTGTGGAGCACACCGTCCAGCCCGGGCAGACAGGCCCCATACAAATGTGTGCACCATGAATTCTGCCCCTGCTGCTCATGTACCTGCTTAGGAAGCTGTAGAAAGCATGACTAAAAAAATCACATTTCAGGTTTTCAGTCCCTTGAAAGGTAAATGTGAAATATGAACGGTCACATGAGCGACCTTACTGGAATCAGAATACTACAATCATTATTATAAATTACAGAATCATGGGGTTATAGCTTAGTGGTAGGATACTTGCCTGTCATGTATGATGCCCTGGATTCTGTTCCAAGCATAGAAACAAACAAAAAAGGAAGGAAGGAAGGAAGGAAGGAAGGAGGGAGAGAAAGGGAGTGAGAGAGGGGGTGGAGGGAGAGAGGGAGGGAAAGGTGGGAGGTGAGTTGGTGGAATATACCCGTAACCCCCGAACTTGGGAGGCAAAGACAGACAAGGCCGGGCAGTGGTGGCGCGCGCCTTTAATCCCAGCACTCGGGAGGCAGAGGCAGGCGGATCTCTGTGAGTTCGAGATCAGCCTGGTCTACAAGAGCTAGTTCCAGGACAGGCTCCAAAACCACAGAGAAACCCTGACTCGAAAAACCAAAAAAAAAAAAAAAAAAAAAAAAAGACAGACAAGTTCTAGTCAGCCTGGGCTACACGGTAGGAACCTCTCTCAAAAGATCCACACCAAAACCAGCCAACTAATCAATGGCAGCAAAAAACCCACAAATCATGAAACATTGTTTTTTTTTTTTTTTTTTTTTTCTGAACAAAACCCGAAAGGGAAGTTCTGCAGGCTGTGGCTACCAGAGAACAGGGATCCACACTACAACATCGAGCCCGTGCTGCCACCTTCTGGTCCTGCTGGTCAGCCAACATGACAAGCTGACTTGTCCGGCCTCTCACTGTCCTCCTTGTGCCCTTGTCTCAACAACTAGCGGTCACCCTGTGTGCTCAGCCCAAACTGAGGCGTCCCTGGCAACCGCCTCTTCATCAGCCACGTCAGAAGTCCCACAGGCTCCTCTCTAAGCATATCGAAAGCTGGCCTGTTCTCATCCACTAGGGCCTACTGTCCAGGCGTGTCCCATCAGCCTGCTGACGACTTCTCCTACTTCTGGACCAGAGATCCTCAATCTTGTCAGTGTTCTGCACAGAAGCCCAGGGCTCCCCATGCTGCTCCCGTTCCTGCAAGGCCCTGCAGGCCAACATTCATTCCTCACATGAACATGAACTCTAGTTTCTAGGTATCCCTGTGCACACAGGCAGGTGCTTGTCCTCCTCCTGATGACTCCCCCACCCTGCCCCCAATGCTTAATGGCCCTTCTTGACCGCTCACTCTACCTGAAAGCGAATCCAACCAAACCCCACACCTGACCCTCCTGTTTCACCACATCCACGCTGGGAAGGCTAGGATCTTGCTCAGGTTAACTGCTCCAAGGATGTTCTTTGCTCTGTGAGGGCAGGCAATCTAGGTATGCCAGGTATTCATGCCCGACCCAGAGTCTAGAGAGCTACCAGCATGTAGCATGCATTCAAAAACATTTCAGCAATGAATGGGTAAATTTCCTCCAATGTCTTGTGACCCTGTGATTAACCGACCAGAAGGAAGATTTTCTTTGCGCACAGTATGTGATGAAGGTGAGCAGGCCAGTTCCCAGCCATCAGTTTGTTTCACTTTATAAGAGAAAAACCATTGTTTTTAATCTCAATTTTTTAAATTGATATTTATTGAGCCCTCCCTACTTCAATCCTCCCCCAAGGTCCCCATGCTCCCAATTTACTCAGGAGATCTTGTCTTTTTCTACTTTCTATCTCCCATGTAGATTAGATCTATGTAAGTCTCTCTTAGTGTTCGCATTGTTGTCTAAGTTTTCTGGAATTGTGGTTTGTAAGCTGGCTTTCTTTGCTTTATGTTTAAAAAACACCTATGAGGGGCTGGAGAGATGGCTCAGAGGTTAAGAGCATTGCCTGCTCTTCCAGAGGTCCTGAGTTCAATTCCCAGCAACCACATGGTGGCTCACAACCATCTGTAATGGGTTTTGGTGCCCTCTTCTGGCCTGCAGGCATACACACAGACAGAATAGTGTATACATAATAAATAAATATTTAAAAAAATAAAAATAAATAAATAAAACCTATGAGTGAATACAGGTGATAATTGTCTTTCTGGGTCTGGGTTTCCTCACTCAAAAAATGTTTTCTAGCTCCATCCATTTTCCTGCAAAATTCAAGATGTTGTTATTTTTTTCTGCTGTGTAGTTCTCCATTGTGTAAATACACCACCACATTTTCCTTAACCATTCTTCAGCTGAGGGGCATTTAGGTTGTTTCCAGGTTCTGGCTATGACAAACAATGCTGCTATGAACATAGTTGAGCACATGTCCTTGTGGCACAATTGACCATCCTTTGGATATATACCCAAAAGTGGTATTGCTGGGTCTTGAGGAAGGTTGTTTCTTAATTTTCTGAGAAA